CATAAAAAATATTTTGGCTGAAAGTTCGAAGGTACTGAGGTTTGAAAGTAATTAAGAAAAATGTTTTGTTCTTTCTCAATTTTCCGGTTTAATCAATCTTTAGTTGCTTGATTAATTTTGAGCAATTCCTTAGGTTAATCAAAAGATAAACGACAAAAATATGTTTTTAACAACGAGCTGCTACAAATTGAATGTAACTTATTCATTTACCAGAAAGCTTCTTCTTCGAAAACTGAAACATTGATCTAATGGAAACCAATTATCACTAGCTTAATAGTGAGTGATAAACTTTCCCTCATCTTCACCCAGTTCTTTCTCCATTATTCTAACCGACCAGCGCATTAAATAGCATATCTTCTCCGAAAGACCGAACATTTATTTAAATTGGAACTCGAAGCCATAATTTTTAAAACCTGTATGTGTACATGATTTCAATACCGTTGTACTGTTAGACCAATTATTAAAAATCTTATCTGATTTCGGTGTAAGTGTATAAGTGGGTACTAAGATTTCTAGTTCGTAGACCGATGGCCAACCGAATAACCTTTTAGGTGGGTTTTAAGCAATGAAAAATAAATGATATATGATATAATTATATACTACAATGGCAACGAGTTTAAATGGTCTATTATTAGGGGCTCTTAAAATATATTACATGTACAGGATAAAACAAAAATCATTTTTGATTCCCCGGCTAGATAATGTGGAATAGTTTCTCATGACATGACTGAAGACAAAGCCTTCGTAAAAAATAGTTTTCGTTCGCTGTGGCAGTTGTAATTGTTTAAATCTTTGCTGGTTTTGCCAATTAGCCGGCGTTGAGTATTTTGCTGTTTCATCTACGATTTTTAATGTTTCCTTCATCTAATAATAATATTATCACACATTAATAAATACCAGTCATAAAATTAACTGTACATTTAAAGTCACTTAAGAAACGAGAGAACATTCTTGGGAATTACAGTAAAACCGATATAAACTATGGCAGCCCAACTTATATATGGTAAATTAAAATCTGGTTTTCGTTAATAGCTGTTTGCTCCATACCGAAATCTCATAAAACTAAAATCTTGAGAGTTCAGAACCGGTCAATCGCCTTCTAATGAACAAAACCTTATTATAAATTACCACCATTAATGTTTTGATATTGAAAATAATTTTGGAGCGTTAACAACGCAATCGCTTTCGAACTGGTCATGCTGATCAATTAAAAAATGTTTGACTTAATTTTGTTACCAAGCGGCTTCCATCTCGATGGTTCGATTCGATTTAGAAATTGCGTAATATAGAGAATTTTTAATTAATACTACTTTGTCCTTTGTTGTTTCCTAATTTTGTCTCATTTTTATTCACGACCAGAACCAAACCTGAAGAAAATCGAGTAGATTATATTTCTAATAAAATTTCTCCAACCAGTGAATTATGTATTTCAATTTCAAAGCCCACTTTGTCTACGACAGTGAAACATCATCTACTTAAAGTACATGTCCAAAATTTCAATTTAAAATCGATTAATAAAGAAATGTCCAGTACAAAAACAGTTATTACACATTAACCTATTCTCAATGCTACGTGGATTACAAGATGGAATATTTCCTGTCCGAAAATTATTAACCAAAAATTCCTGATGTTAATATATCCGTCTTGAAAATCTGGCGCATTAATAAATATTTAATATTGGCTGTAATATCTCATTCTTCACCTGTCAAATTAGCCAGATATAAATTGATAGGGGTCACCGGGTGAGTGGAAGCACAGATACTATCGAAGAGATTTTATTGACTGTTTAAGCTCCCAAAAGAAAAAGCTTTTCTTCTTCGACATTTCTATATAAGCTGTTTGCGTCGTATTTTGTGCGCGTTTTAACTAGTTACGTTCTTTGAGGAATTCTAGTAATTTTATCTAGAAGCATTTCGATGTTTCGCCAAGAAAACGATTGGCATCATCAGAAATTATCGACACGGTGAACATTTGAAACAATTTTTAATTCATTAAATTGTAATTTATTTGGCATTAGCATCTGTATATGTGTTTGATGTTGGTAATTTATTTTTATACTGTTGTTAGTTTTTGTGTTTCTTGTTCATCTCTTTTGTCAATCTTGCAATGGATTTTTTTTCTAATAACTGAAATGTCTATTATGCGGTAAAATCAGAATTGAAAAAACCTGTTAAATCAAAAGCTTTAATAATTACTTTATTTTGAAACTGGCGCCTTTTTCGCCGTGCTTTTAGGCCGTCGTGGAAAATAATTTCTTCTTGATTTAAATAAGCAAGAAACTGCGGAACTTTTATTTTATTTGCTTAAACTGTACACAGTAATGACGCGTTGGAAGAAATGTATTAAAAAATAGGAATTTTCTTTCTCGGAAAAAGGCTCGAGTTTTTTTCTTTGATCATTTTTTATTCCTTATGTATCAAACCCCCACAAAACTGACAAAAAATATTTTTTGGGCAAGAAGACTTATTAGATCGACATACCCTTATTTTGCAATAAAAATTGTTTATAAGTATGTAGTTTTTCTTTTCAAATAATGTTACGTGTGTTTAGCTGGCAGCATTTTGTTGACGAAAAAACAGGCCGATGTGAAATTTCGAATGTGCTGAGGGAAATTATGATGTTAATATTTGGTTTAATTAGTATTTGGTTTCAAAATTGCTTCAAACAATAAATACCATTTTTCTCAAACCTCCACCAGTCTCAGGAGAATTTTCTCAGATCTTTGACTGATTTTATTGCAATTTTGCCAGTCAACATCATAAACCTACGATATTCGTATATTTGGGCTCAAGAAGAATTAGCTGCGTTTAAAGAGAGATACAATGAAACAATCCAGCTAAAACCAGGAAACTGATACAATCCAAACATTTTTAAACTTCAAAGTATAAATAAATCGCAAGCACTATAATCGTGTCGCACTCCGTATTTCTCAAGAGATATTTTTGTCATTCAATCGGGTTTAAGCGTATGTAGCTCGTGCTCTTAAAATAAATCCTAATCAAAAGGAATCACAGTTAAAAAAACTTTTAAATTAGAACTACGCATATTAAGCACGGTCTGCATTTTTAAATATAAGTCTGAGTTGAGTAGGGGACGCTTCCAGCAGTTATTGAACTTTAATTAGGTGCAGTATTCCTGGAATAATGGGGAAAATCGTTCTTGAGTTGAAATAAGGGCAAGTGAGTTGATCACGGAATCTTATTAGGCTAATAACTGATTTGGTTCTGACCTCTTATTATTATATGCGCTCGGAGCACGCGAAGGAAAAACCTAATTTTACTTGTTTTACCGACTGTCAAGATCGAAATTAGAAATCACAATTAATCCACCAAAAAAGTGATCGAAACGAAGGAGTGGTTTTATTACGGTTTCGTGTAGCTGCGATACTTTGAGCATATATTAAGTAACGAATGGGTTCATATTTCTTGCTCAGTGAAAAACAAAATCAAATTTATTACTCTGATTTAGTATCTCTTCCAAATAGGCTCGGTTACATATTTCGGTAAAAGTATGTAAATGAGCTATTTCTTTTCGACATGGGTGTTGAATTTACGATATTTCGTATATTACGTTGAATTTTCTTTACTAGAGTGCACGAAACGAATGAGCTTTGGAATGAATAAATGAATTTAGAATTTTCGGCTTAATAGAGGAAGTATGTGAATAGCCCTTTAAATGAGACAAGAACTTGATGCTGGCGATTCCAGCAAACATATTGTGTTTTTATTCACAAAGTATCCTCCACTTTAAATACGAAAACAGATACTTTGCATTAAAACTAGGACCCAGATTTTTTGAGACGAAGAAGAGATATTTTCAGGGCAAAACAGCGAACTAGAGTCGGAAATAATGAACTTGTTAATAGCATATTTTATTTTCTTATGGTCATTCTTGGTTTATTCAAATTTATTCGAAATACGGTAATTTTAATTTTTGAAAAAACATCAAGTTATTTTCGAAATTTCCCATTTACTCGTAGGTAAACTTGAAAGGTTTACCAATAATCGAACGGACGCGTAGGCCGAAGACAGAGAATCTATTGCTTCGTTGCGTAAATAAGAAACGCACAACACGTTTTATACAAAAATACTTCTCAGGCTCCGTAGATAAATTACACACGGACGTAAATGTGCCTTGCAAAACAAATTATTTTCGTTCCTCTTCTTAGTTCCTAGTCAGAGGTGTAGATTGTGGGGACTGTTTTCCTTTGCTACGATTAACGGAAATTCGGGGACTCCACCAAGTAAAACTCAATGATTTTTAAAATTTTTGTAATCTTAAATCTCAGATTTTTGCAGTCTCCAGTACACGTTACGTGGACCTCAAGAGTTGATCAGTGGACATAAAAGAGTATCAGAATTAAATTCGGAAAATCTGCTGGTGCGCCAATGATGGAAAACTGTATAACTACTTTTCCATTTCTTTGGCATTTGAGTATAATTTAACAAGTTGGACCTCAGCCATTGCCTGCGCCTTCAATTTTTATTTATAAATTGCGTTGATGAGGAGCGTCCATGTAGGCGAACAAGGAATTTTTATAATCTGGAAATGTATTTTATAGTGTGTCAAAGATACGGTAACCAAGTAGTTTCACTCTGTCGGATTAAAAACGTGACAATGTTGGGTTAAATATAGAGAACGTTTGGTTTGGCTGATTTCATTTGCCTTATTGTATTCGACGGTAGATGCAGCTTTATACAGAATTTATAAATTGGTGGTTTATTTGTTGTTAATTGGAGTTAATTGATGGAATGATGAAGGGAAGAATCTAAAATGGCAACTAGAAAATTGATTTAATTTGCTCACTGTTCTCAGGAATGAAGACCAAATCAAGCAAGAGCTTCTCGCAAAATTAGAGCCTTAAATCTGACTCTAATTGAAAACGTTTTAAAGATCCAGTTTAATAATAATAACTGATTATTACGAGGATATTATTCACTGCATTCCAAATTACAAAAGGAAAAAGAATGCCCAAAAAGTGTAGAAGAAGAGAAAAAAAATAGAAAAATATAGTTTTATTTTCGAGTTTGTAAATATTACTGCAGTATGAAGCTAGAAGCGCAAGAACAGAGATACAAATGTAAATCTCTTGACAAACAAGTTGATTGTTCGGTCTTCCTTGATGTAGCACAGGCTTTCGATAAGATGTCGAGTGAGACCCTTTGAAGGCAATTTTCGTAGATCCTCGACTAACCAATTGCCTTACTTAATGATTGCAAAATATACTAAAATAACCGGGAATTTTTTGCGTGTGTCTTGTTACTCAATTTATATTTGTAAAGCGATTTAAAGTTCTCCCATAGGGAAAATTTGAATTTTCATATCCAATCTCTTCTAAAATTTCTTAAATTTCTAAATAACTCTTTACAAATCACATTCAACTGTACACACAATACTTTGTATTACCAAGTTTTTATAGATTTTGGGGAATTTTTAAATCACTAACTATTTACAAATCTCTTCTAGCTGAGCAAAGCGAACTAATTTTAATAAAGAGGACTATTTAAAATTTAAAGTAGATGAGATAATTTGCATTTTATTCCAAGATGTTTAAGCTGAAAGGACTATAAAGGAAATTAATTTGGTGTTTACAGCAGCAACGCAAACGATAACGTCCCTCGAAAGCCTGTTGAAATAGATCGTCATCCAATCTTCCTACGGTCATAAAATAAACGAGTCCATATGACCTGAAAAATATTAAATATCAAATACGAGTAGGACGAAATGCCGCAAAGCGACATTTTCGAGTAATTTTACTTATGCGCCGGAAGTCAAACGTGTCTCTAATGTAATAAGCAAAGACTCTACATCTGGCACATTATTTTCTTATTCTGGCCATTTTTCATGTGTTGCAATACCCTCCCCTAATAAGTCAAGGGTCGAAAAACACGTTTCAATTTGAGGGCTTGAGCGTTCCAGCTCTTGTCGATGGGAAGTGTGAGAGCAAAATTTATGGATTCTGAAGAACCGTATTAAGAGGAAATGGGTTCCATACAATTTTTTCAAATTTTAATTCTCTTAACACCAAAAGGAAATGCAAATTTGTGCTTTGTATAGAATAAGTCAATAGCATAGTTCATACTGTTTTAACACCAAGATCTCCAGATTTAACACCAATAAACATGTCGGTTTCCTTCCTTAAAGTAAAAAGGAGAAAATTTACTTCTGCGGTGAATACTTTAAAGTTAAAGTTATTAGAAGAAGATTCAGAATAGGCGTTACTCGTCTCTAGCATCTGTACTGACTAGCGCCAATTTTTGGATCATACTGTTGAAACTTTTGCTTATTGCAACTAAACGTTCCAGTTTCAAAGTAAGCACAGAAAAACTGCGCTTACAATGTAAATCGCTCAATTTGTGCTACCAGTAGACGCCACTGGGCTTTCACATATGGGATCAAATTTCTGGTTACACCCTAATGCAATTATTTCCTTTTGCCTACCTTCGCCCATATGATCGCCTCCAAAACGTACATTTTGGGTGCCTTTTTAATGACCTTCGCTGCCAGCCGTGGAGTTCTTCGCATCTGCACACATCGTTTGGTTTTCATCGGTACTTATGGTTGGATATCATCAGTTCAATGTCAAGACCGTATATTTCTTCAATTTGGCCGTCTAATCGTTGTTGTTTTGTTGTTGGGTTTTTATTCGTCTGGTTACTTTGTCTCATTACCCTGGTTAAAAGACCTCAGTTGTTACAAGATTCAAAGGTTGAAGCTTCATTTTTCTACAGAATGCCTCAAAGACAATTTAACCAGCTTCCAGCAGCGAATTTAGCTGATTTTATGATTCAAGAACTGTAGGACGTTAACAAGTCTTCTCGTGAAAAGGATATAACAAAGGCGTTTGACACAGGACTCGAGAATCAGAGATAAGGGATTCTGTCGAGAATGACTTGCATTAGTGTTTCTTACTGGGCAGTTGCGCTCTTTCTAAAACTAAGTTATTGACGAAAATGCAGGTGGAAGCATTTAAAAAGCACTCAACAATCATTGAAGGGCTAAAAAATTGCTTTTGGCAATTTCTATCAACAATCAAGTTTAATTAACACTGAATATTGTTTAAACTTTAAAAAACAAAATTCGTTGAATTGAATTTTAGATGTCCAAAAGTATTATTCATTTTGGTTCTAGTGAACAGAAAAGTGAACCCAACTAAAGTCAATCTTGTTATTTCAACATTCGATCAATCGAATGCAAGCTTTCTGTTTTGGATTAATTTTCGTGTTGTTTTTTCTTTTAAGTAAAATACTTGCATTTTATTTTATACTGCCGCTCATTTTTGTTATACGCTGTTCATCTTGGTTTTCCTTTTGTTATTAAAAAATGTATTATTGTATTTTATGATTATATATTTATTAAAATAATGAAAACATTAGAAATATGGACAGACAATTTGACTTTTGTACCAACATGTGTTTAAGCCTGCCAAAATTCGAATGGTTATAAGCGTTTTTACTATTAAACTTTTGTACATTTGCAAGAATTGCCCTAAATCTCATAAATAGCCATCAATTTAAATTACATTTAAATACTTTAAACGCATCAAAGATGCCCTGGAATATTTCAAAGTTCATTTTAAATCAATTTAACGTCTGAATATGCAGCAAAATCTGCTTTCTTTAAGTAAACCAATTTTTTTATAATATTTAAGTAAATATTAGTATATATAGTTTTATAGTAAGTCGTATAGCAATATCTTTAAGTAAACCAAACCAACGCTCGCCATCTACACAACAGTATTGCTATTACGAACGGTACAATCAATAGCTTTCAAGCTTTCTCTATTCACTTCGGTATGTCTCGATTAAATTTGATAAATAATGATTAAATAATTGATTAAAGTTTACTAGCAAATCCATAATTTAATCTAATCTTTCCACTAAACATTGAAACGAAACGAAACGCGATAAATGCGATTTTTAACTAAGGCTTGTTTAGTACGGCCTTTCGCCTTTGAAGCTCACTTTCGAAATAATTCTATGGGATGTCACCTTATAAAAGTTTTAGAATCTGTAAAAATGAAATGTTTATTATTAATTTGGCATTTTATAGCTCTGCAAAATTCAATCTTTTTCAACTCAATGTGTTCAAATTTTAATTTTTGTTTTTTCTATAGAAGGTTTTCAAATGCGGTTGTGGGAAATAATTAACATTGCAAATCAAACATCCGTAATAAGAAGCAGAGAACAAACAATAATTAAGTTTAAAGTTGTTGAGCGACTGGATTGGAAAAAAATTGTTAAAACCCTATACAAAAAGACATTTTTTTAAATAAATGCACATTGACTTTTTTTTACAGTGTCTGACAAAAGTAATTATTTTAGTGGATGCGTAAAGGGGAATTTTTACAAAGGGATGCAAAAAAAAGATAAAATCAGCAACAAACAGATTTAAATTGATGTTAGCTTATTCCTACCTAAAGTCATAGATTTTAAATTTATTTAGGAAAAGTTCAATGAACAATAAAATCCTTTAAAAATGTTCATCGAAATACATTTGGCAGTTAAAATTCGTGTTACATCTGGTGTGCCTAAGAAGCAGGAAGAAGTAAGCAGGATTTTCGAAATAAGCAAACTACACACTTACAGTTTAAGTTAATCTTCTAAAAACCACACAATTTCAAGAACAGATTGTTGCTTAGTTCTCACGCGTTTAGTTATTAAAACTGTTGAAATTGAATAAGTAGTTCGACGTTATTATGTTATAATGGTTCTATTTTCTGTCGGCTTCTGGCTTTTGCTCATGCTAAAAAAATTCTGCTAGTATTTAACTCTAGCCAATAAATATGTGAATCATTTTTTTACAAATATGTATATTAATTGCTATACGCAAACATAGCAATTTTTATTTTTTATAAATATTGTTTTTGGCGTTATTCTTCCAACCAAAGACCTCCCAATTTTATTTAGTTCCTGCACTGCCGCTTCCGCTCAGTCCTAATTACCAAATTCTGTCTTTATGCGAATTTTCAAAAAAGGAATTTACCACCAAATAAATTCAATCTAATTTAATTTTGACTGAAAACCTTGCAAGCTTTTAAATAGGACTGCAAACTCAACCTTTGAGCATATTTCTCTCTTCGCGAACTCTTTCCGGAATATTACATCCACAATCTTCATTCCGCTTCCATTTTACGGGAAACTCATCAGTTTGTCTGTACTTTTTTTTGCATTATTAGAAGTTGCGAGAAAAACTGTGAACAGTGGCTGACTGAAAGATTGTTAATAAAACTTGGAAAATTAAAACAAATTGAACCTCAATTCTCACCTGTAGATGTACATAGATCAGCTGTTAAAGCAATTTAGAAAGGGATTTAACAAAACAACGCTGGAATATATGTTCTGGATTATTTTTAGCCCGGTTTCTGGCAGAGATTTAAATCCTCTAAAACCAGGCGACAGTTTCTTATACAACTAAACATTGGATACAGGCATCTGGACCATGGCTAATTCGTTTTAGTGCTGTTTTATTACTTCACTGTGGATATTTAGTGCGGTTTTCGGTAATTTAGTGTAGCTGTGACTTGAAATAATGTTGTCCAGAAACAAGCATCATCATCACCACCATCACGATGGTCCAATAAAACATAAAAAACACGTGTACATTCCATTTGGACGGCACAAGAACCGAAGGGTAAGCCTGTAAAAGTTACTTCACTGTTTAGTTTAAAACCAAATGGACTTTTGGCAGGAAAATGAAGTATACACGGTTTTGTTTATTTTAATTACTATGTTCCGCCTACCATAGATAAAATTAGACTAACAAAAACATCTAAACAAATCATTTTCCATTTAATGGATTTCATGCATGGGCTTGTAATCATCAAGCTGGTTAACAATTATCGTAGCTTGGAGAAAATGGGATTTTTCGAAAATCGATTCGTACTGGAAGTATTTTCATTGGCGTAATAAAACTAAATTTAGATTTCGAGATTGAAATTCCTGTAAATTTTCATGCTAAATGCACAGCTGACCATTACTGACCATTTGTTTTTAAATAAATAGTACTTGTTGGACTTAGGCGGGTTGATTTAAGGTCGATTTATCTACGATTTCAAAATGTATTAATTTTTGCAGATATTTCATTGATGCAATTGTATGTTTTAAGTTCTAGTAAATTTTGATACGAATTTCTAAACTTATCGCTCCCAAAAGACCCCTGAAAGCCCCCTGAAAGCGCAATTGTGATTCGAAAGCTTCTAATTGAAGTACATCAATAAATATTTGCAAGCCAAAATCCATCCTTATGGAAAATATTAGTAATTCCAACAAATTACGTCTATCGATTATTGCTTTCAATTTTGGTTGATCACACCTGAGTAAATAAGAACTAAAGCTGAAAATAAGGATCACTTTGGGCAGTTATTAGCAGACCGTGAAACTGACTAAATTCTATGATGGTTCGGTACTTTTAAATCTGATAATGGTACGTATGTTTTCCATTTGAAATCGGGATTCTACAGCTTTTAAGTTGTGAAATATTTTTGAAAGTTTATGTAATTTATTCAGTGATATTTAATTTTAAGATCCATTTGTTGATGTTTAGAAGGTTTTTAAATTTGAGATCAAATTTTATTTAAAACACTGGAAAAACTGAGCTCGTTAGAGCTGAAGAAAGCCAGACTGTTAATATAGTTGAAATTCCAATAGAAAATTGGTGAACAAGTAAAGAAACGAAACATCTAAACAAACGAACAAATAGACTCAATAAAGACGACAATATTTGAATACATGTTTGTTAAAATACAATTTTCAAATTAATTTTTCTACGGTGTTTAAGTTCAAAATTTAGGACACACACCCACATTATAATGGTTCTGAAAATTTAATTGAATAACCGAAAAATTCCAACAAAAAAATTAAAAATCACCAGTTCTATTTTATGTCGGAGAAAATTATTTAAAAAATAATTTTTGGCAAATAAATCCAGTATACCTACAATTTCACACTCCTCTAAAGCCGCTGAAAAGAAATGTAACTTTTAACCACTGTATACTATCTCCCTGTATAGGCCAATCAATCATTCGGTTGCATGATTTAATTTGCATTTTTTTTAAGGAAAATGAGACAAAAATTTATATATGCAACTACTGGGGGTATGAGACATTTTTAGGTGGCTACGATTTTTACAATGCTCTTATTGGCTGGGTTTTATGTGCATTTATTTTAAATAAGTTTGTGCTTAGCTTTGTTGTTGCGCTTTTTGCTATTCTATTCTAAGAGTTGTTCAGAAAATGTGTTTGCATTATTATTTAGTCAATTAATTCGACAATAATCACATATACCAAAGCAATGCGAAAGGCAATTAAGTTTCAAAATTGAACAGAAAACTACAATTATTAAGAATAAAAAATCAGTGGGGCTTCACAAAAGAAACTGAACGGGTAGAGTGACCATGGCTCTAAAATAGTTATATTCGGTGGATTATCGCAACCATGTGGTACAACTGGATGCAGGACGAAATAAGGTAGCGAGAATTTTTTATTTCGGATTTTTATATCATAAGCTGTAAGAGTTGTAGAGAAAAAACTGTCAAAACAATCTCGTAAATGAACCTTCTGCAGTCCTAAAATTATACAACCAAATTTTGAATGTTAACTCTTCACCTTTTTAAATCTAATCACTGCGCATTTACCCGAGCAAATGCACAATTGCTTCTAATGATAAAAAAACTTGCCACTATATTCATCTAAAACTCTCAACTCTCTGCGCCGTTTACGTCGAAATACTACCTAACTAAAGATCAATTAAGCGTCGTCCATTGTTTTAATAATTAAATTAAGGAGCGCAACTTTCTTTGTTTAGTGTATTTTGCTTATTTGGAACCCATTGTGGAAGTAGAGTTGGCCATTAAAGAACACAATTTTCTTACCATTAACTTCGAAAGTTAAGGAGCTACGAATTATTTGATTTGCCGATTTTGACCTGCTGCACATGAATAAATGCGATTTTCCTGTCTGTCCATTTGCAAACATCAAAATTTCCACAAAATCCTCATAAAGTCTGATTCATTCAAGTGAGTGAGTGTTTAGAATGAGCGAAAAAAATACGTCCGGTTGAATTCCGGCCGTTAAAGCGTTCCTTATCGTGATTGAATCGAGCTTGTTTGTAATCCGGCATAATACTGCATACTTTCCAGGTTACGCTATGCACATTTTCCAGACGACGACTCCTCCTCTGATTCAGAATTTTCCGCGAAGTGGCACCAGCGGTGGAAAGTCTATCCAGAGGATCGATACTTGCGCATGCCAGTCGCCTCTATAACCCCACCTCTATTAAATATGTACAATCACTGGGCTTTCGGAAAACAGCCACAACAAGAAAATTTCAACTTTCACACGACTTAGACAAAATTTTCGCCGTGGCTCTCAATATTTGCTCCAGTTTGACCCGCCTTACTTCCCTACAAAACACAAATTTCTTGTACAGATTTACGCCAAAAAACCGGTCTCGGCTCGTTCAGGTTGCTGAGTTTTCCGATACATTTCAGCGGAAAACTTCACTATGTATCGGCGTTAAACAAATTGGCAGCCACGTTTAGCCGATAGTTAGTTTCTTTTACTGGGAAAAGGCCCCACTGGATTGCGTTAGAAAGCCAGTTTTGGGACATGTCGCAAAATGATGGGATACAACAATTTCAACCAGGGATATAACAAATTGTTTACTCAGGTGAGCTTTATTTGTGCATATATTCGGGGTGATCTTTTCTAAAGTAATTGGACTATCCACTTGCGAATAATGAGTGGAAAACACTCCTTTTTGGGTAAACAACAACGTGCCCACACAATGACCTTATTCCAGACGTGATCGCTGTAGAAGACATTTTTCAATATTTTATTTGTCATTTTATGATGGAGTTGACTTCAAAAATAAACTCTAATTCATTACGGAATCAATCTGTGGATGTTTGAGAATCTTTTGGCTTGAAGGACTGGAAAAATTCATACAAAATAACAATTGGCATTACTAATTGAGTGGCCTGCGTTAGAAATCGTCAAAAACTCCCCAGTTTCGGTCTGACTAAAGTATTAAAATGAAAAGAAGATATAAAGTACAGAACAAAAAAACTCAGATTATTAAATGCGGTGGATGCACACGCCACATGTGGAGTGGCCTACAACATGCCACATGCCCCGATCTGTTATCGCTTGACTGCCTTTTAAACTGAATTTTTACTAATTCTTAATTTTATCTAACTGCTATGCTCAGTTTAAAAAGCTGCACGCATTTCGCCCTTTGCATAGGCGCAAATGAATGAAATTCTTACACTCACCTTATTTCATTGTTTTCATGTGTTGAAAGTGCTACGATTAACACATTTTACCCTGTTGACACTTTGCAAGTGTTGAGCTTTCTTTCATCGTTCAGTTTGTTTAATTTTACGATTTTCGATAAACAACAGATAATTGGCATGTATTTGGATCTGCATTGTGCCAACATGGGCTTAATTTGCTCATAAAACATATTTACTGTTCTACAAAGCTATTTCTTCAAAGATTCTCTATTTTCCAATGATTAAATGTGGATTTTCCAATAGTTTGCTTCAAATTTTGCTTCAGCTAATATTAATGGGTTTCCAGTATTCTCGACGTACATGTAGTGGAATGGCCTAGGAAAGTTTGGGAATAGAAAAGTGTCAATGATGCAAAGCTGGTTACAAGTTTCTGATTTATTTTCAAATTTAATAATTTTTATCTTAATGTAAAATAAAACAGGATAATTGAGTCCGTGTGAAAACTTGATTCCCAGTTTTCTCCTTCGACATTCGTTTTCAAGAAAATAGCATCAAGTTGTGTTCCTCTAAATACTTTATTCTTTGCTTGTTCATTAGCAAAATGGATCAGGTAATTTGATCGTAAATTCAACGATGGAAATTTAGCCATGTTTTAATCAGTCAGTCAGACCTGTACTTACACTGTACGATATGAGTTGAAATTCACTAGAAAATGTGGAAATTGCTGCATCTTTACTCATTACAAGGCATTTCATTTTCCTAGTTGTGTCTGTTAACAGAAAAAAACACAAAAACACTTTAAGTAACTAGAAAGAAACAATAAAGCAATGCAACATGTGAAAGGCAGTTGAAGGAAAACAAGTAAATAAGAAATGCTGAAAAAAATTACTTACTACTTAAACTATCAGCTGCCACAGAGCAGGTCGGTGTTTACAGATTTCTGGAGACTTCATTTAATAAACTTAGTGATAGACTCATTTTTTAAATAAATGAAAACTTACTTTTAAATTCTCGACTAGACACAACAGGGTGTTCAATTTAGATTATACATCCTGTAAGCATATAATGAAAAGGGGACTAAGGCATTCTTGACTCAAATGAAGACCATATGACCTACATTTTATTAAGAAAAAATATCCAGTTTCTCTGCTATTGATAATGGTTAAAATTATTCAAAAGAAATATGTTTTCATACTGAGAATGTACGGAGGATTTTAATGAAACTCGCTGTGAATTTGCTCCTATGTAAGACTATATTTTAATGAAGCAGCCGAGTTTATTCGCTTTGATACAAAAACTTCCAGAACTTTGTGTTTGCTAGTTGGAATCAACTGATTTTATCCGAGTTGATGCACTAATCGATTTTCAACATTTTTTGGCTCTTTCTAAAATCTTGCAGCATTTATAGTTTTTGCACAAAAAAATTGTTTCCTAGCTATTTAACAATTTCAGACATTAACTGGAAACGTCGTAGTAAGTGATCATGTTTTATTATAATAAGTTAATTGTCAAGCGTTTTATAATTTTTAACTGACCGACATGGTCAAAAATCTAAAAAAAATTATTTCAGTTCGGTTAATTTAAAAAGTTAATGAATATCTGAAATTGTCGGTTGGAAAAAGAACAGAATTACTTTTTTGTGGAAAAACTATGAATGCCCAAATCGGATGAACTCGGTTGATTCATGAAAACATGAGATTTACATGGTAACAAATTCACACTTCCTCTATTTTAAAAAATACCTATTTTTTTTAAGAACTTTGACCATCAATAGCAGAGGAACCAGTCTTATTTTTCCTAGTAAAAGTTAGGTCAGATCGTCTTCTTTTGAGAAAAACATTATCGCAGTACCCTTTTGATCATCTGCTTGGGAGGTACCTTGTATATTCTTTAACAAAAGGTCTGCTTAAGTACTACCAGAAAGTACAAAGTTTTACTTACAAAAAATGCACTTGAAAATTGAGTGCTATTTGTAATGCATAGTAGAAATCTCGTTGTTGTTTTGAAAATCCGCAGCAAAAATAACTTTAAATTTTAGACAGTGAAATTTATCTTAACCAGAATAACAAAAAACCCGTACATTGTAAAAATCAACACTGAATCTGCGATAATATTGGAAAAAATTAAGGTCTTCTGATGCTTGACTTCATCATAAAATCTTGAATGGACAAAGCTGAGTTCCTAGCGTTTAGACTATAGAAGCTGAGACCAAAAGTACCTAGATTAGTCTGTTAGGAAAATCAACGACTCCCTAAATATAAACCACCTCTATGTATCATTTATGTTTGTGCTCCTATTTAATAATCATTCATCTACAATAGTAATAAATCATCATTAATTCAAGTTAACCCTTTAGATCTGAACGGGAATTGAATAGAACCTGAAGAACGTTTATAAAGTCGAAGATTTAAAATATTATTGTCGCATGTTTGTCAGCGTTGTTTCAACTAACCTATGTCAAAATACACTAGCCTGGTAAGAATCAAGTATTTCAGCCGGTTTCTTAGGGTTTAGCCAATAAGTAGAGTTGTTCCTTAATGAGTAAAGTCTAGTTCAGATGATTGATATTCAAGTCGAAAGCCTTAGCTTTCTGATGAATGAAACTGTTTATAAATAATCTGAACTAAATCTGCTCACTTCCGTTTTGCAAATACAACCTAGTTTTTGTTAATAGATGAAATAGGTATTGAGGAATGTTAAAAGCGTTTACATTTCCCTCATTTCTCATAATGCTTGTTTATAGCTGATTCATTTCATTTCATCGCCTCAGTGTTTCTGTAGTCGCTTGTAAGACCAACGCAGTTCCATTGCCGATTTTAAACCGTTTACATTTCGAAATAGAATTAATCGTTTTCCTAGTGCCAGGCAAGTCTTCAAAGGAATAACAGCATTTGGATCTTTCCTGTCTGTAAAGAAAATAATTACTGGAAAAAAGTCACTTAGCAAACGTATTAACCGAAATTGAAATCTAAACACTTCTCTTGGTTGTGTTTTTTCCCACACCTACAAACTGCACCAACTTCCATCTGCAATTCACCTAATGTGTGTTGAGGAACCCTGCTAATGATCATTAGTTGCTATCAAACATATTAAAACGCACATCACAACAAACAATTAAAACACTCCACTACATCGTAGTTAAGAGTGCACTAAAATCATACATGTCAGTGATGTTAAGTAGATTAGCTATTCATCAAGCCAACTTTTTTGTATGTCGAGGCAAAATACGGAAATATGTTGACCGATTTGCTGATTTTTAAGAACTTCCTAGACGCTGTCAATGTATTTCATGTATGAAAATCAAACGATTTCCAGTCGTTTCTTTTGCTAACATTTGCGTTTGCTTTCTCTTCTAGGGCTCCGCTGATTCAAATTATTCTCAGCCTTCATCGGACCTGTCGTTGGACGAGGAGAAGGAAAACCTGCGGAGGGAGAAGGAACGGGCAGCTCTTAGTCAGTTGGAAAAAGCAAGAGTAAGTATGGAAATTGAGAGGGAAATGAAAAAACGACATCAAAATAGTTAAGCGGATAAAATGGGGTTTCAATTATTTTCGTCGAAAAAGTTTCCGCATTTCGAAACCAGATTCATCCAAAAGCAGTTTTTCAACTAGCAAAATTTCAGCAAATTTAAATTATATTTACTTTTGCGCCTTGGCAGGCAAACAAACGGAATTCAAGTCAATTGAGTCACATTTCGGTGTCATTTCCGCAAATGAAATTAGCATTAGTTATGTAAATATGAACTACTTCCTTGCCCTGAAAAATCCCCCTTAATTAATTAATCATCGATTGAAGCATTGGAACACGTGAACTTGTGCTCTATTTTGAAATGTAACTTTAACGAAACACTCTGTAGAGTTGCTGGCATAAGCAACAAAAGCATTTGTTAGCGAATCTATTTCCAAGTTATATTTTCCGCTTGGAGATTATTGGCGACGATAATGCGGATGCCATTACTTTTCCAATACGGGTGCACACTCTTTGTTTGGTAAAAATAGCACTAAATCTCGGATTTAATGAGTGTTGACCTATTTTGGTTAGTTGGAAAGTTACATAGTATTTAGTTTCTGTTCGCCCATTAATCGCCTCTGAAGTTATTGATTTAATACACGCGAGACGTGGTCTGACTCTCAAACGACATTTTCTTTCTGTAAATAGAGAAAATCAACTTATTGTGAGGATTTATGCGGAAAATTGCAAATATTTGCTCAGAGAAGCAGAAAATTTAGGAGTTGTGGGTATTTTTCAAGAAGATCCTTTAGCGAAAACATGTTTGTGCATTTATTTGCATCTGGAACTGGAACTACAAGATGCAACAAGAATTGACTTTTAGAGCTGGGTCTTAATTTTCTTCGGTCGGAAATTTTAAATGTGAATTTGCTATATTTATGTTAATAATCAAACTCCGAGATGAAATTGAACTGAACACCAGCAAAAATTAAAAAATTTTGAAATAATGCAAACAACTTCTGAATTAGTCTTTCTAAAGCCTTCAGGCTGTTTCCTCAGTCTTGTCGTTTATTACGGTTTATTTATGTTGTTCCAGACCAGGTCGGTAGCATTTTCTGTTAGGACTAACGTCGCATACGATGGAAGTCTTGACGACGATTCACCAGTTCATGGATACGCCATTTCCTTCGAAGTTAGGGATTTTTTGCACATTAAGGTAGGTTATTTATTGAACATTTTTATTGCAGTTTTATGTTCTGACTATAAGGAGGAACAATAAAAATAAAATAGCACGGGTTTTGACCTTAAAATGAACAGCGAATACATACATTAAAATGGAGCACTTTGCAAAAGAATACCTTTATTTCCCAGAAATTTTGTTATTGAAAATAAAGAGGGTTTACATGTGAATGACTAAATGATCCCAATTGGTCGCATAATAAATATTTGAACAATACTTAAGGCCTATCAAATTCAAACTATAAATTTTATAGATTTTTGGTTCAATTCACAAAACCTTCACTAGAAAGATGCATTACAAATTCAAGGCACGCGCTATTCTTCTCAGTTTTAAATTGTAAACTTCCGCATTGATTAAAAAAAGCCTGCTCGATTTTTCTCGGAAAAAAAATAGAGTTTTCACTAACATCGATTTGATTTTTGTTTTAGGAAAAGTACGATAACAATTGGTGGATCGGGCGTCTGGTGAAAGAAGGCTGTGACATTGGTTTCATTCCATCGCCGGTGAAACTTGAGAATCTCAGGCAACAGCAAGTCCAAACAAGAACCACCAAACTCTACTCGAGCAAAACTAGTTCCAGTTCGAACATTGGCGCAACGGGTAACGATGCTTCGAGAGGTAGCACTCCTCCTACACCCGGTATGTCCCATCCAAATCGATTTTTGCCCTTCGATGGCATCGATCAAACGATTTTTTGTTGATTTTCTTGTGCATCGATGTCGTGGCGTCTCTATCTCGGACCTGCAAGTGCTCAAGTTCTGTAGAATTATCGCAATCAATAATTTTATTCAAAATACATTTTTTTTGATCAACAAGTTTCCACTTTTGATCAGAAACTGCTTGGTCTCAAGTAGGAAAATCCAGTTCTGAAATATGGATAGCAAAAATGACGCAACTTAATAATACTTGGCTAAACTTGTTGATAATTCTGCAAGCCCAGAACTGTAAATACTTCAATGCAATTAATCAATTTTACCAGCATTGTCCGCAAAGGAAATTAAAAGAGTTTGCTGTAAATACACTGGACCCTTATTTCTCACTTCAGGTTTGTACAGCCATATTTTGTTGCAAATGGTTTTTTTGTTCGAAAGCCAATTAAGATTTCCCTTGCTCCAACTACCTCCTTTACACGTAGAACGTAGATGAAAATCCTCTAGCTGTAGCTGTTTTCATAGCACCCTACAGGACGTTTTAGTTAGAACCTTTTCAGTTTCATTTAGCTGACAATATGAACTGACTGTTAGACAGTGATCATTTCACAAAACTTGATGGAAATTGAGATTGTACTCAGAAGAAGATGTTTCTCAAAAAACGCCACATCATCAGCCATCACAGTTTTAGTTGACGTTCATGAAATAGAGCAGTTGAAGCGGAAAAGGGCCCAGGGTTAACGGGTTTGGTGTTTTAGGTGATGAGTCCGACTCAATGGGAAATCCTAGAGGCAAATCGCTCACCACTCCGCCAGCTAAGGAAAAGAAAAAGGCTTTTTTTAAGAAACAAGAAACGACAGCGCCATACGACGTGGTTCCTTCAATGAGACCTGTTGTTCTGGTGGGCCCCTCTTTGAAGGGCTACGAAGTCACTGATATGATGCAGAAAGCTTTATTCGATTTTTTAAAGCACAGATTTGAAGGAAGGTAATAGTCCAAAGTCATGCAAAGGGCAAGATTTAACCCCAATTGATTTCCAGGATAATTATTACCAGGGTAATGGCAGATATCTCTCTAGCTAAGCGATCTCTTCTCAACAACCCGTCGAAGCGGGCGATTATGGAACGATCGGCTAGTCGTTCCACGTGTCTCAATGAGGTCCAAGCGGAAATTGAACGGATATTTGAGCTAGCCACCACCATGCAACTGGTCGTGCTGGATTGTGATACAATAAACCATCCTTCACAACTTGCCAAAACTTCACTAGCTCCCTGTATTGTTTATCTCAAAATTTCTAGTCCCAAGGTGAGCAATTCAAAACCAAGTGGTATGACAATGAATGCCTTTCTTCGACGATTTTTGCAACAAATCTAAGTATTCTTCACATTCAAAAGTCGAGCCACTAACATTTAAGACTATAAAAGGGGCTGCTTGATTTCAGGTTTTACAAAGGTTGATAAAATCAAGAGGAAAAAGTCAAGTCCGGCACCTCAACGTTCAAATGGTGGCAGCCGAGAAACTAGCTCAATGTCCTGCAGAAATGTTCGACGTTATTTTAGATGAAAACCAATTGGAGGATGCATGCGAGCACATAGCAGAGTATTTAGAGGTAATTGGAGCTAAACTCCGCAGTTTTGCGGGATTTTAGGCCGTCGGGGAAAATAATTTCTTCCTGACAATTCTTCCCGAATGAAAGTGTTTTTCCCGGCGGCTGAAAAGCCGGAAAAACTCACTAGATTTACCTATATTTTTTTGTTTTTGAAACTGCATAAAATACTCATGGAGATGCAGATTGACAATAAGAATCATGCAATTGAGTTATTGTTGATAAATCAGCAAAAAGAAAGAGAAATCGTTCTTTCATCTTATAAAACAACACGGAACTTTTGGTTATTTTTATTAATGAACTTTTCAGCTTCAACTCGACAGAAAAATAATAATAAATTATTATTTTATTAAGGATGTTTAATGGATTAGCACAACTCTTTACAATTTGATATTTTACTGAAAAACTAATATTTTTGCTTTCAAACTAATTTTTCTCTTAGGCCTATTGGAGAGCCACGCATCCTGAAATACCGAATGTACAAAGAGCTATTGCTGCATCACCACAAGCCTCACCAAGTGGTGATCAGGGTCGTCCCACTTTACCAGGTAATTTATTCGGCATGAATTTAATAACTTGCACTTGAATTTGGGGTTTCAATAGAGAAAAAAGTTGATTATTATCGGTGGAACACACTTATTAAGTTTAAATAAAGTTGCAGAAATTACTAGAAATTTACTAGGTTCTTGGAGAGACCATTCTGGTAAAGCGAAAACATGCTTTCAAATGAATTTTGAAGAGATGCTAACTTTTAAAGCCACTTCACAAATTGATGAAGGATTTTTCAAATAACTTTAAAGTTTTGTAATGAAATACACTTTATTTTGTTTCATTCATCAAATAAAATAAAATTTATTATTTCAGACAATATTTGTTACGAAAAGTCATCAAACTTTGAAACTGACCATTAAGAGACCATCATTCTAACAAAAATAAATAATTTTATAAAGATATTTTTACGAACTTGATGGTAAATTGAACCCAATTGATCCGTTTCTCCTCACCTCATTAACTAACTAACATGAAACACTGAACTAACATCACTAACCATTTTTTTTCAGTGGACCATGACGTATACGGATTACACCATGATTCTAGAGGTAGTCGGGCAGGTGTTAGATATATAGGATTGCAAAGTTGGGATTCTGTAGACTCTCTAGAATCACTCTCTTTTTTATAGGAACACTGCATGACCATTTCTTTGATATTCATTGCATTTTTTACTCGTGTAATTTTGCTTAGTACGTATTATTCGATGCATTTACTTTGTTCAATATTTAGCTGACTGTCTACTGAAATGCTGGGCAAGTCCAGTTTGGTAGATAGTCAATAAATGTGGCATCGTTCTAGAGAATAATGCAGTAAGTCTGATAGTAAAAAGTACAAAAATGTCACTACGTTTTAGCAGATTATATTGTGTATAAAGTCTTTTTTCGGGATATATTTTTCCACTTTCTCTACCTGAAATTAAATTGTAACTTCAGAGTCTCGATATTTGCCATTTTATTCTTTGAACAGATTGTTAGTATGCCGTGAAATACGAAATAACAACGCTAAAAAGGAGCGAAATAAATGCAACATTTTGGAAACATACTGAATTAGCTTGCGGTGAGCTTAGCTGCTCACAACTCATTCAACTAACCCAAATTCCAATAAAACTCCATAATAAACAGATGTTGAAAGACAGTTGTTGCAGTTTTTGGAGTTGGAGTAAATATTTGAATATTTATATAACTATTATATAGTTAGAAAAATATTTTTCGTATGAAAATTGCCCAAAGATTAAAACAGTTTGCTGCAAGAAAATAAGAATACATTATACATCTAAACGGAAGCTTTAGTAGATATGGGTTTGGCAAATTCATCTTTCGAAAATTTTCCGAATTGCACCTCAAACAAATGAAACCCACAGAAAAAATTTAAAAAATCACATTTAGAAATTTTCGTATCTGGTTTTTTTTAAGAAATAAATAAAAATAACAAAAAACTGACTTACTGCGTTGTCTTTGAAGGCGCTAATTATACAATAAGGTAGTTAATGACATAGCGAACACAATACAAAACCATTGAACTATTGTTGAATGTAAATAACCAATATAATATTATTATTAATAAGCAAAATATTAATATTGATTGAAGTCAAAGTTTTTAAATTTTCTACGAGTGGTTTTTAGAAAAAACGTATCCAAATGTTGTATATTTTGCTGAGTTACAAACCTATCTGAGACTAGAACGAATCGACGTATTTAAATTTGCTAACTAAAAAAATGCTAATATCAATGATATCAAAACTGTTAAATACATATGCATGAAAAGGATCCAACATCTGCATATTACCAATAAACAAATCAAAATCGCATTGGGATTTTTGTTCAATAAACCATAGACCACAAGAGAATTTAACAGAAAAAAAAACATGAAATTTTGCAAATTTTTTCCAGATTTCTCCGGCTCAATGACCCCCATTCCGAACAATATTTAGCTTAAAACACATATTAAGGTTAAGTGGAATGCACGGTTTTAATTTGAATTTTTCTTTCTTTTTTCGTTTCGAACAAATCGCTTCGCTATACGCAACAAATGCTTGTTTGTACTTTAACTGCACTATCGACTGAAGTTGCACCAAGTCCTGGCAAAATTTGGCGGGCCGGCTCTACTGACTTATTTGCTTGAGCTGCTGATGCAGTTTTTTCGTTTTGTAAGTTGTTTTTAGTGCGAATTTGCTCACTAAGCCAGGCGTTTTCGCTTTTTTTAGGCGAAATAACACTAACCACTACAAAGCCCAGAAAATGAGATTTAAAATATACGATGTTTGCGCTAAGTAGGATCTAAAGCTCTAAGTGATATAGAGAAATTCGGAAGATTTCTGCTTCGGGAACTGAATTGGCAAAAAAGCTTCCTCATTTCCAATGCTGAAATATTTACGTCTAATATGTTCTTCGACAGCAAAACTTCAATTTCCAGATATGAATGAATATATTTTTTCTGTGGAACACTCGAACGTATGAAAAACTCATTTTCTGTGCGTTTTCTAACACTCGTTGAACCGGGAAATTCCACATTTTAGCAATCTAGAATGTCTAACAATGCTTGTGATTTTTGTGACATGTTGAGGAGTTTGCTGTAGCATAGTTAAACTAAGTATTAAATTACATAGTAAATAATCCAATATATTAGTGACTAGTTAATGGAGAAAGTGGATAATAAAGCTGTTTTCTCCTTTAGCCCATACGTTTCACACGGCTCATGCAAGAAGTGCACGAGCCCGTTTAGAAAGGGAACGCGAGTATGATGAATATTCCGAAAAAGACCATCTAAATATGCATCCATCGGTTCACCATCTGCCGCCCGATGATTATCGGGAGCGGCCTTTGGACAGGGTTCCATCACGGCACTTGAGAAGTCGAGAAGAAATGGATTTTCCATCATCACATAAAAGCACATCCAGAAAAGCGTTGAACGCTATATAGTGGAGGCTCTCTACGGAGCAACCCATTGAAGAAGAACTTCAGGACGAGATTCCTGCTGGCGCAAGAGAAGTGTACTATAAGCCCCAAATTCCTAAAGCGTATAGAGATGACAGACTGTTAAGCTATGAGGATTCATTTGACCGACCAAGGCGGGAGGAGGATGGCAGGTATTCTGGTAGAAAACTGGAGCCGTTTCCAGAAGAAGGCCCATCCAGGCATGAGAGCACTGGTGCCACCAGACGATACCCGGAAGATCGACAGCCTACATCTGCTTTGGAAAAAAGTAAACACGAGGGCCGGAATTACAGGAAGGAATTGTTGGAGAGGTTTGGCGCTATGGAGTTGGATGATCGTCCCGAATTCACAGGACCTCAAAGGTATTACGAGTAAATTTATCGGTTGGTTAATGTTATGTAAATTTGATTCCTATTGAGCCAATCCTGACTTGAATTAAATAAAATTTCTAATAAGAACCTAGGGAAATGCAATTTTACTCTTTGGCACCATAGACAAATTCACATAACTATACCATTCCGAACTGGGTTTCTTTCCCCCTCAACTGTACGATTTTATTGCCCCAATAATTAATCACGCCTATGAAAACTTTGGACCAAAATCGTTGTGTCAGCAAACTTATTGGCCGAATAAAACAGAACCGAAAGAAATCCGCATAAAATCGTCTTAATACCTCGAGATTCTTCAATGAGATGTTCCGTAACCCAATGTGATTTAACCGTAACTGTAATGTAATAGAACTTTTGACCATTTTGGTGCCATATTTGAGTACAGCTCAATTTTTAAATCATCTATAATGAATTCAAAAGATTATTCAAGCTTTAAAATGTAGCGGTAATTTAGTATTTTTTTAATTTGTTCGTATGAGGAAGGGTAACTGTTGAACATTGTATTTTACACCAGTATTGTCTTAGAGCAAAAGAACTGAGATATTATACTTTAACGGATTGTGTAACTCTATTATGAGAGTAAAATACGTATTTTGGTTATGTTGTGTCGATATAATAATTGCAAAATTTTCCTTTTTTTAATATAAATTGCCTTTTTTAAAATCTGACCTGTCTTAGTGCACCAGTTTGCAATACAACAGTTAATACTCAAGATTTACGTTCTCACACTGGTCGAAATTAGGCAATTATTATAGTTTGACATTCATTTTATATAAATAGTTATCTACAAAACTTACCTTCGTGATATTAAAATAATAAATTATATCGTCAAGCATATTTGACTGATTCTAGTAAAATAATATAGAACAATGTTGAAGTTTGCACTGCTGTTAGAATGTTTAAATAAGTCCATGCATTACAAACTAGAGCTTTGCAAGTCGCCATTTATTTTCAGATTGTATCACTTTTCTCTATTATATGGAAAACGAAAACTCGTAGGTATAAGGTATACAGAATGAGTCCGTTTACACTAGCATGTTTGTCATATAGGTAAACTATGTAGAGATCATTTTTACAGTACTTTTCCCATATCTCTTACAATTTTGATGATAAATCTAAAAGTTATAATGACGGAGGTCGCAACTTTCCATTTCAGTTGGACTAATTTCACGCACTCCTAGGACCGGTTTCGAGATTATTAGCCGTCATCATCATTGTTCATCAGTTCTCAGTTCAGATTCCTTCTTCAATTGGCAAACTTTCATCTGTTGCATTTTTTGTAACTACAACTGCTTTAGAGTAATTTGTAAAGTCTCCGAATTAACATTTCGAAACAGTTTTATTTCTAAGTGAATTTTCAGTTTAGATTTCACTTTCGCAAAATGTTGATAAACTGCTTTTTTAAATAGTTGGGTTTTTTCAGATACTTGATCAAATTACTCGACAACGGTTACAGATACGAGCAAATGTAAACGACGAAAAAGTTTCCAAATTGAACACCGAGTCTACATTGTTGTAAAATCCTGGTCAATTTAAAAAAGGGTTGATCTCTGAAAAACATCACTGTTCATTATTTTGACTGAAAGCTTGGAAAATCTAAGGCAAAATTTTAAATAAATCATAGCAAAATCGAGAAGAACTGTGAGACAAATCCATCAAAATTTCAAACTCTAAAGTCACGATGTGTCCCAAAAAAATCCTTAGTGACAAAGATAACTAAAAAAGTGCTCTGGTACAATCTGACTCATTCCTGTATCATTCGGACATTTTCGGTAAATTCTACCACGTTATTTCGATAGGTTTTCGAATTATCTGCAGTTCGTTTAGTTGAAACAAATTGAGGACAATCAAAATGTAACCAAAAATAGACTAGAATTTCCTAGCTTGGCATTGGTTACCTGACTAACATTGATTTGGTAGAAAATCCGCAATTTTCTCATCAAATTTCTCTAGAGATAAAATCTGAAAATAACTAAATGAATGTTTATGAACTTAATATTGAGAACTGCGAAGCCTACGGCTTAGTCCTTAATGAAGTCCACTTAAGTCTTCAAGCCCGCGTTTATAAGTAAAATGCATGTTTTTACGAATGGAGAAAATTCACCGACCAATTGTATTACATTGAACGAAGTTTTGTATAGAAGTAGTCGCTGTAACATAAATTTGTACCATCACCTGTCGGTGTCAGGGCTGCAAAACATTGAAACTTCGTCTCCCCGTGTATAAACCAAAGCCTTGATACTGACTTTAGAAGGTTTTTACCCCATTTTCGTTCATAGATCTTAAAGTACCTTAACATTCACAACCTGTTAATATTAAACGAGTCTATTAAATACTGAAAATTTAAGATGATATTGAAAGCTAAACTTTGAACATTGTACATATGGAATATTATTTGTTAAACAATTGTGTGTAAAAAAATTTTTGTTACTCTCGTGAATGTTTTAAGTGTTTATATGTTAATCGATTCGTTTAGAGTACGTGTTTTTAGTTGTTACTTTTTCTAAGCGCCTTGCCCTCTTACTATATTGTATAATAAAAAATTACTTAATTATAAAAAAGAACACAGTAAGTGTTCGTTTTTTTCTAAATAAAAAAAACTGAGAAAGACCATTTATGTGTTTATTTTCAATGAATTTCCTTCAAAAAGTTCGTGGGTTTCACAACGGATTGAAGGTGTGTAAGTGTTTTTCAACACTTTCAATTTTAAATTCATGTTGCCAACTTTTTATTAATATTTACCTAAAGTTTCAACATCAATGTTACATTTTGTCATACTTTTCCTTGAAACCGGACAAGGTTTGAAGAAGTTAAAATGCAATATTTGATAATATGATCGAAAGAACAACTGAAAATTGCGTTAACTAATGAGCAGCCAACAATGAATTTGAAGATTTTTTAAGCCTCTCCAAGTAAAGATAAAAACCTTTATAATAAGAGCTTATTGATGTAGCAGTAGTGTTTTTTTATTTCTTCTTCATAATTTCTTTAGTTGTCAGAATTAGTTCTGACAACAAAGTAAAGAAAAAACTGGTTGTTATTATGTTTTTAACCCAGTTATCTAACTGGGTGTAAAGTTATCTAACCTGAATCTTCAGGAGGTGATTGGAAACCTGAATAGAACAAGGAAAAGGCACTGAACAAAGCAGAAAATAGCAGGAGTATAAAAGAGTTACAAATGTTGGACACCAAACATTATAAATATATTTTTTATGTTTATTAAAATGCAACAATTCAAAATTTTAAAATATGCTTACATCGAGTTTGCATTATCACATTTTCGTCGCAGCCAACTATTTCTAACGATTCAAAAAACCGGGAACAATTCGTTTTGCTTACGGAGGTACTATCAACTGTTAGTACGGTAAAAGTAAAAATAGATGCTATTGCTAGTTCAATATGAACAAATATGTTTTTTTTAATCTAAAACATAATTTCCAGTTTAGGGGCACATCGCCTTAAGAAAATCTGGTATTCTTTATTAAATTTAGATTAAAATCAAGGCCTCAAGACTCAAACTCTTCAAACTATGCATCTACTTTTGGCAGATCCTCAACCTTGCGATTCTCAATCTTATGGGGACTGTTTGTAGCGCTACCGACTGGAGTACCAGTAGCCATGCTTTCAACATCGTCCCGTTCCTCTTCTTCATCGATAATGCTGATGTCTCTAATCGATGGTCGATGGGACTTGCGCCACCCTTCTGGAATCGCAGGTATTTTGGTTTTCGTCAGCAATCTTGGTCCGGAAATCGTGATCAGAATGGCACCAGTTGGAGCTGTTACCATTATCGATAAAATGCAAACCATCAGGATTTTATTTGCGTAATCGTATTCTTCCGAAGTGGTATCATCCAGCATGCCCAAAACCATCGGCCCCAAAGCAGCCTAAAACCGTTCAAACCCCCCAAAATAACAACAACCCTCCTGAAGAGTTTCGTCACTTCCTACCTGTACTGTGGCTTTAGCCATCAAGGCAAAGGCAATGAAGATCTTCTCCTTCAAATTATAATGGCAACCAATAGCGACAAAAACCGTCACTACCATCCGGAGCAAAACGGCGGCAACCAGAATTCCAATCCCGATAGCCACAATGGTTCCATCCAGAGCGGAGAACTTGATTTGAGCACCAGTAATGCCGAATAAAATCGGCTCAAAAATCATCCAGAATATTTCGAAGGCAGTGGCTGCTGGATTGTCTTCGATTTCCCAGCCTTGTTTTGTCCAGCAAACCAGGCATGTGAAGGCTGCAGCTACACAAGCGAGAGGTCCGGCTCCTCCATAGCCGATCAGTTCGCTTCCGAGGACGGTGACGGTGCCCCCTACTAGCAGTAGGAGAATTCGAAGAGGAACCTGTAGAAAAATGGAATAGAGGAACAGTTTCTGTTCGAGTTCTTGAAGAGTTTTTTAGTCCTTTGTTGCTTTTCTATTTCTAGAAAATTTGTTGAATTTCGATTCATGGAGATTGGGAAATCCGGAAACTGGATTTGGCGCATTATCCAAAACTTTAAGACAGAAAGGAAATTGCACCTATCAAACTAACTTGTCTTTGGGAAGATTCGCTGACTGAAATCCTTTACAGTTTTTGTGGACATATGCAAAAGAACTTGTACATGAAACACCAGAACAAACATAGGGAGAACTTCTTTTGTGCCAGAGTAAGAGCATGACTTTTTCACGTAAAATCCCTGGAAAATACTTAACAATCGTCTCCATTCTTACCATAAATGGATCATGTTTTTCAGGCGTGTAATTGCAAATAATTCCCCATAAAACGCCGAAAGCAAGTCCTCCAAAAATTGACACTGGTCCTTGTAGAATGAGTTGGGCGATGCCACTGTTGGAAAACATGATGCTTTTAACAATCCCGAAAATTGCCACTGAAGTTGCATCATCGATTCCTGATACTGCGATAATCAGAGTAGGAATTCCTTTTGCTACTCCGTAGCCCTTGGACCGTAATCTGAAACCAAAACGAAAACATTTGCACTAATATTGAGGAATCATTGCTAAACAAATTTAAATTATACTTAAATTTGTAAAACTTAAATAGTGTCCCTACCTGAATAAGCAAGGCACAACGACAGCAGGTGAAACAGCAGCTACAATACTTCCAAGAAGAATAGAATAATCCCAAGGCATTTCCAGGAAGTATTTTGATAAAACTGCAGTTACCGCAGCTTCAGTGAGCCAAGGAATCAATCCAATTTTGATCACCGTGTATTTGAGTCGCTTCAAAGCGTGTGGATCCAAATCTAAGCCAGCTCGTATTAGAATAATCACCAACGCTATATGCCTAAAACAATAGCAACGTTTGCAACAATCCTCACTTTGATACTCTGAATTGACCAACCTTAGTTCCTTATTAATTTCCGAAAAATTCTCGTTGATATTTACACAGCCGACATTCTGGAGCAAAACGCCCGTAAAAAGCATACCAATCAGTGCCGGAAGCGTTGTGAGACTCATTAGCCATCCTCCAAAATGTGCGCAGATACTGAGCAAGATTAATTGGTAAACGATACCATTTGGAGGTGCTGCCGTTTCTCCTACTATGGCGTAAAGTATACACCACGAAAATACACCTTAAAGCACAATGTTTGATTAGAGGAAAAAATCTATTCAAGTTGGGCATTTACCTAAAAGAACTAAAGCTACGATTCTGGAAAACTGACGATAGGTAGGGCAGAATGGGTATGGGCACAGTTTAGGCCATGCTGTTGGCTGCCATGACGGGTGCGATTCTTGCGAGCGGCATTTGATGCAAAAAATATACCACCAAGACCTGAAAATTGATTTATTAACTCACAAATGTTGGGTAAACAATAAGGAAATACATGGGGAATTGCAAATTAAATGGGACACACATGTTTTCTGCCCTGAACAAACCCTCAGCGGAGAAAGATTTTTGTTTTATTCCTGCAATTATTTCTGCCTGTTAAGATGTAGATCCTAAGTGTTTTTCATTCACTTTTACATAATGCAAATTGCATTTTGCGGTCTCAACAAATTCTAACAAATGCAAGAATTTTCCATCGTCATAAAACCACGCTTTATCGGCAAATTAACATATTAATTACACGGTGCAATGCCTTACTTTTTCGCATTGCAAACAATCTCAAATCTCGCACGGTCATTTGCTTTATTGAATTAAGACCATCCAACCTTAGACAATTAGTTTTTGTTATTTAATCCCAAGAAAAATAAACATTGTCATTAATAAGGCAATAGGTGGAAACAATTACGAGACGTGTCCAGAATAGCTTTGGATTTCGTATGGATCGTTAATGGTAATAAAGGTTTTGTTTCCACCATTTGCAAAATATTTTTATTGGGAATTCGTTGACTAGTCAAAAGCATGCCAACATAAAGAACATAAACAGGTTGGTTAGTTTTTCAAAATCACAAAGACTTTGAATTAAAATCAATTGATTTGGAAATTTAAGCTCAGTGTTTTGTCGTTGTTAATTAGCCCTTATGGGGCAAATTAACGTCGTTAGTAAAATCTAAAAAAAAATTGTCTGACAAACCACGTAGGGCACATTGGCATGAAAAACACAATTTAGGCAATTGGTAAATTTTTACTTGCTTACCTGTCATCATCTGTTTCATGTGGAAACTTGCCAGATTGCGAATAAACGGAGGACTTTGAGTAAACTGAATTTTTCGAATTAATTGATTCAGTGGTGGAATATTTCTTATGCCGCTCGGTATCCATTTGACGATTGGCACTATCTGAAAAGACCAGATGCTTCGGTTCTAAACAGACACAACTTCCACACCCTTCACCAGAACCCTTCAGCATGTTACTCGAGGCTGAATACATAGCGACATTTCCACAGTCGAACTAAGCAAATAATATTTGCAAAATCATTAATAAACCGTTGTGGTTAAAAAGGTTTCCTCTTTTTGTTGCCATGAATTTATTTCTTATGGTTCGAACCCAATGTACCATGCTGTTGATGTGTTTCTTTTGCATTCACACTTTAGGCACGCTTAGTGACCGATCAGGCAAATATTCTGGGACTAACTGATGACATGTTCAGATTAATTGTTTTGCTTGATTAGAATACGTGCATTTTGCTAAACAAACGTTTGTTTTGATTTAAGAACGGAAGCGAATTGGTGAAACCCATCAAGGAAGTGATTTGAGAATAGAAGTTAAAGTTATATACAATGGATAAAATAAGAGGAAGAAAGAGGCAAGAATTTTGGCTGCAATTGGTTGATTTGGTCCAATTTTTAACAAAAAAAATTAAAGTTTGTCCGTTTTTATAAGTTTAGTTTTGCATAATACGTACCACATCGTAAGGTGGCATCCTTTTCAAAAGCATTATTCACATGAAGATGCAAAATGCTTTTTTTTCGAACTGGGCCAATCTCAGCATGTTCCGACTGAGTGCTGACTTTTCGGCTCCGAGTCGGCGATTCAAAGGCATGATTTTCATATCCCCGATCATGTATGTAATGATCTAGAATGCTCACCTGCAAAAAACAGTTAATTGAAATTTACATTGGGAAAACAGTTCATTATGGAAGAGATACTATTTTTTGTACTTTCAAGAGACACATTTGGACTTTCAAGGAATCGTTTTGTGGACAGCAGATTTACAAGTTGATTGTCATTTTTTCCTTGAACATATTTTCCCCGCTAAGAACCGCAAAAAAACGCACTTTCAATTTGGAATAAAAACAAAATGTTTGTGTTCTTGATTCCAGTCATTTGAAATTGATTTTTAAGCTTTTGAATATTGAGCAAACAAGATTTTGCTATTGCACATCTAACTTTTTAAATAATAGACTTTAGAACTTCATTTACTAAAAAAATTCGCTTTTTTCCGCATTTATTTATTGTTTCTGTTATATATATTTGGATAGAAAACAGTTTTTGAATATCCCGAAATAACCATAAAACGAATAAAAAATGACTTTTAATTCAAATGAACTTCATTAGGTAGACATTAATAAATATTCTGCGCGTTTTAGACGTTTACAAATAGGAAAATCACAAGGGAACTGAAATTACTGTTATTATTTATACATGAAAATTTTATAACGCAAATTTTACAAAAAGCACATTAATGTAGCGGGTATGAAATAAAGTACCAACGACAATTTTGTGAAGTTTGTAAATTTGTTATTACTGCAAACATTGTAACTGCAGGATAATTAGCATTGAAAATGTCGAAGCGCAATTAATAAATATAAAAAACTCTTTAAGAAAATCAGGTTTTTGTGCTTATTCAATTAGATGGGAAGTGTTTAATTAATTTCTAAAACAGAAGCTTTAGACCTCCGAATGCGACTAGGAGTAAGTAGTAAGATAAGTAAAGGAAGGTTTTGTCAATGTTGCTAGACGCAAAACCGCTATAAATTGTACAGAAGAACAAAGTAAACTTATTGCAAATGTTATAAATCTTCAGTGTTTTTGTTGAATTTAGGTGATGCATCTAGTATTTTTTCCAACAATATTCAACGTAAATAAAAAGTAAGTTCAATCAGTTAAACAATCAAAGTAAACATGCACCAATCTACCTTCCAATCTAAGTACAGTGATTAGAAATCTGTGAACGATTTTAATCATGAGTATTTAAGGAGTTAAGTTTGGTTGATGAATGTGAATAGACCCGCACTTGACGAAACAATAGTCTGATTAGGGTGGATTTTTTGATTAATTTAGCAAATGTTACGAAAATAATGGAAACCTGAATTTTCAGTTTTCCAGTTTGGGATTATTTTACCTTTCTATTATTGTTGTGGTTTGGTTCTAAATTCGATGTTGGTGATGGATTGGAAGACACGTTGTTCGGATCTTGATCCCCCGACATTTTATCTGCAATTTTATGTCGATGTTAATATTGATAGGCTAAATATCTACATACCTACATATTGAAAATGACGAATTAGTCTGCATTACTTAAGTTTGACTGATTCACGTATCTGAAGAGCTCTTTAGAAATTAGGAAATTTCCTTTAAATCAATACGCATTTGTCCTTTAACGTCATCAAAGTAGTTACTTACCCTATAAGTAGGCGAGAACAAATCAATTAAATTAAATTTAAAATTTAAGGACTCAATTTGGCCAAAAAATTGTGATTCAAAAAATTAATTTTCTATAAGAATTCAATTTCAATTCGCTTTGAACTATAGGCGACGTTCTATTTTTAATTAATTAATTTGAGCATTTGTGTTTTTTTAAGATGTGGAATATTTCTGCCATTCGTCCAGGTTTAGTGCGTTAGTTGAAGATATTTTCTAATAGGTGTTGAAAAAAAGCCTACCTGATTAGATTACCGCCATTTACAAGGCAAAATATTTTAGATTTTTCTAGCAAAAAAAAATGTTATTGTATTGATGCATCAAAAACATACGCAAATTTTTCGACGCCTCAGTAGTCAGCAAAAGTATTTAGTTGGATTTAAATTAAATTAAGAAAAGTCCTTAAAGCACAAGCCATAAATAACCCATCAAACGTACCTTCTCATCCAACCAACTATGGTATAGTAAATCTATTCTTTTTGACTTAGACCTTGAAAATTCACATTCTCCAGTTCAAGCAAACTATTGAACGTTGAACTTTCTCACGATTATTAACAATTTAACTCCACTCCAACATTTCTAAGTACCCTTTTTATTCAGGCCGATTTCAGTTTAAAAAAGCTGAAAACTTGGAAACGTCTTAAACGGAGCTTCAACGAGAGACAACTGGAAATTGGCTTGTTGACATGCTAGAATTTCGATTCGTTAAATTATTATGCTATATTTCCGACTTTTTTTCACTGAAATGCTACGTCAGAATGTCGCGCAAGGGTTAGAAAATAGGTATTTTACCTCAGAGAATGGTACTTCTATAGAAGGTAAATTGTTAGAAATAAAAGTTTCAATTGAATGCTTATTTGGACATTTCCATTTTTTGATTTTGGTTTTTGACATGTTAGTTACGGGCCTAAACCTTCCTCAATATCTATTTAAAAAATTTGATTTCGGTTTTTAGCACATCAAAAATTCAATTTAGAAGCGATGCATAGATTTGGTATTTTACATCATATAAAGAAAAACGTTTGCGCGACCAAAACGTCAAGACATTGCAAAGCCCACAGATCACGATCTTCATATCAAATAATATAAAATCAACTAACATTTGCAGCATTAACTGTTGCAATTATTATCTTGATCGATTGCAGTTCTGTGAAAACATAAAAAACATTTCTGAAGCTCTTCAAATTATTTTTGTATATATTTGAAGCACACGCTTTATTTGTATGAGCCTATCAATAATCAGTGATAGTTCAATTGATTTTATTACAAAATATACAAATTTATTACCAAATTTCTCGAATTTGTACTTTAATTGTGAATTTGATGAATTAATAATCAGTCAATAAAATTTTCATCATTTGCATAAAATGTTTTTGTAATAAAAACAATTGCAGTTTTCAAGACTAAGAATTCTTAATAAACAATTAGTCTGATGTTTTTTTGGAAAAAAATATAGTCTTTGAAAAAATGGTATCGGTAATTTCATGTATTGAAAGGGAAATACTTACAAAAATATATATTTTTGAACTTTCCTCTGAAGTTGTTACAATGTATCACAGGCTCCGTAAACGCGCGACTATTTGAATTACTATATGAAACTATATCATCGACTTAGTAAAGGTGCTTTATTTAGCCAGAGAAAATATAATCGATTATCAATTAATGTGTTATTTGTTTCAATTTGCTGCTAAGTACCATCAGAAGCATTCGGCAGATTATAGGCAAAGTGCGAATTTTAAATGAATGTTTACCGGTATCTGTTACTGCGTATATCATTGATATATGTACCCCCATTCGAAACGTTTTCAGTTACGTCAGTTGACGATTATTCTAATCGAACAGTTTGCCCGATATGCATATAGAATGGACCTGGAAAGAAGTGTTTTTTCCAGCACTCAATCTGAATATTGAAAGTGGCCTTTAAATAATTAAAATTGCCTGGAACAATGAAGTAAATGGGATTAGTAACAATGCTAGGGGGTTTGCTTAAATGCAGGCTAAATGTTTGGTTCATATGGCTACAAGCAAAATGTTTAGGAAATCAATAACTTTGAATGATTGGAAAATACTGAGAAAGCAAATGTTAAGCGACAGCCCACCGAAAGTTAAGTTATACGATTTTTAACTGATTTTGCGAAAAATCTCTGTACAGGAAATGACTTATTCACTGCCCTTCCCTGATATGCGATCTCTGAAGCCAATTTAAAACAAGCCGGAAATGTTTTGAAACTTTTATCGGCTTGGAAACTCGGAATGCAGGAACTTAACGTCAATTACTTAACAAACGGTTTGCGATTCTAAAAGGGTAAATTAATTAAAACATTTGTTTAGAATTTTGCTTTTTACTATCTACTTTTTTATTTGAGAGAGCAAACGAAAAAATTTACAAATGAACAATTGCGTCTAAAATTCTGGTTAACTTAACAAACGCGTTCCAAGTTTCCAACAGCCCGTAAAAAAACGTTTTTTTTTTCATTCTCATTTTACAAAGCTTTCAATGTGAACTTACGACTTGTGAATTAAACTATTCATAAAAACCTGCACGAATAAATCACAAGGGTTTAGATCCGGCGAGCGTGGTGGCCAATCCGTAGATAATGACAAGAAATAAGGCCGATCCACCTATTCAGAAGAAAATTGTTCGAAAGCTCCAGCACGACCTTCGAATATAGTCAGTTCTAGACAATCCTGGAGAAGCCACATGATGTTCCGAAAAAAAATTATAAAGGGCGAATAAAAAAAAATCCGATTGTTTTTAATTCCCACGTTAATGGACAATCGCTGTTAAAAAACGCTTCTTCAAATTTTATGGAGATTATCAACCCACCCAACATTTGAGTGTTTCTTTGAAAAATGTTTATCATTTTCTTTTTGTAGCAAAATTTTCAGAAAAGTGAGTTCTGCGGTGGAAGTTTCCAGTCTGTAGAGCTTGGGACATTGATGATGAAAAGTATTCATTTTTTGTAGTTTACCTCTGCTCATTTGCAGTCAATTTGCATCTTCCTGAACAAGATTAAAAATTACTTGCTTGCACGAGTTCTCGAGAAGAAACTGTTGTGCTTAAATCATAAAATCTGCTTGCTGCTGCACGTTGACAAAACTCAAGACGATATGTCATTTTAAAATTTAAGCAATTTTCTGCAATTAACTTAGAAAAATGGAAAAGATAAACGTTACACATTCGCAAAAAATGTGACTAAAACCACACAGATAAAAACGTGCAAAAGAAAATAAAGTGCACCAAACAAAAGTCGGAATTATCAAATGCCATGAAGAAAATTCCACTATGAGCATATTTTCTTTGATTCCTGGTCTCCTTTAGTCAATTTTTTCATTCATACTTAAAGATAAAATGGATCATTGGTTGGCATTAAAATTTATGAAGACGGTTAAATGCCTCTTCTTATGTAACTTTGTAATCTCTTCATGAATTTTTAAAATTAATTTGCCTTTAAGGAATTTAAATTGACCTGAAATGCTATTTTTTAATCTTCAAATATGGTTGTAAATCAATAAACATAATGCTTCTATTGAAATTTTAAAAGAGTTATCGTGAAATATTTGAAGCTTTATAAGATTTCATTAATCCCACGTATATACTGGAAATTGCACAAGAAACCTCGTATTTCCACCTACGTAGAACGAAAAGGAATAAAATTTATATTACATTAGAGACCGCGTTTTATAACCATCTTTGCACGTATTCATTAGTTTAGTATTTACTTGAATTGAATGATGAATGATTTTGTGCACAAGTTAAAACATTAAATAATAAGCTTTGCTAAAAAACAAAAAAAAAATGCGTCGTTAATTTCAGTTTGGTTTAAGCTGTTTCGCAGATTGTATGAAAATAATTTTAAAATTGAACATGCCTTTAAAAACAAGTGTTCTTTTGAGACAGTTTTGCGCAATTAAACAAAAAAATCGATTTTGCCATTAGTATTCAATCGCATGAACAATAAGCGATTAAAATTACATTATCAAAAATCACTCACAAATCGCACTAAATCCTTTCCACTAATGTTTTAAATGTTATTTCCAATTTTATATCACATTAACTGCTTATCCGGCTTACCTAAATGCTGAACATATTTTCGGCAGTGGTTTGCCAATTAAACATTATTTAATATTATCCCATGGATTATCGCGAATTAATCGAAATCGTTAACAAATAAAATAATAATTAATCTGACACGAATGAGTGTAACGTAATTTCGTTAGTAATCCCGGTGTTTTATTGTCTCATTTCAAACACATCGGTGTATTGTGGTCATATTTATAGTGTTTCCACCCGCTTGAGTAGTTTTACTATCGACGTGATAAGAAAGGCCACTCCAAAGATATTTACTATTTATTCTAATCAGTAATCAATCAAAATAAGTCTTTCGATCTCATGACTTCACGCTCATTTAAAACCTGCCCTGGTATCGTGTGAATTAGCTTTGCAAATAATTTCCAAATTTTTTAATACGAAATACAATAAAATATTAGCACTACCGAAAAGGAGCTAATTCTGCTAATACAACTCACGCGGTAAGAAATAAAAAAATGTATTACAACTGGAAACAACATTAATGACATATTTGCACTTCTCTTTAGTAGATTCGCTGATGAACCAAGAAATGTATGATTTTATTCAATTGATGGATTTCTAATAAATATTGTGGTTTTTGGATTCCAAGGATTATAGAAAATAGCGGATTCAGCAACAAATTACTAAATTATACTCGGTTTTTATATGTATCAGAACATTTGTTCAGATGCATCTTTTATGCAGATTGTACAAAACATGCATCCGTGCGAATTTGCTCATTAACATTTCCATAATAAACTCAACCAACAGAATGTCATTGATACCACGTATAAGTTGACACCATTTATTAGCAAGAAAAAATGGGTTAAAAGCGAGCATAATATATTCATATGACACGTTTAGATATTGACAAAACAAACAGTAATACTCAATAAGTCCTCGTCCGAGATGGCACTTTATCAGTCTGTTCACGCTTTTCATGTTTGTTTACGTTTTTAGCAGCCAGATTATAATTGACTTCATCTAATTTAAAAAAATTAATCAGGTAGATGATAAAGATATCAACACATCATATCACATCAATTAGTGTGCGGCCACTACCTAATAGACGCTAACAACAACTTTTTGATTAGGATGAATTTTCGGCAAAAAAGTGTAAGAATTAATGTAAAAAACAAAGGTCGGCCAAAGATAATTTCAGAAGATTTTGGTATTTCAGTCAGCAGGATAAATATAAAACAATCTCAAGATCTAGTGGTTTTTTTAAAGATGAATTAAATAAAGTATTCAGCCTTGAAGCTCACACTTGGTGAATCTAAATGATGATGTTTACGTTTGTTTATTGAGAAATTATATACAAATTTTAACAGATGCGCTTACAGTGAATGCGTAATTCATGTCATCGATTTTATTAGAAATTTTATAATAGCACAGTTAATGTACCAAAATTCGATTGGATTTCAATAATTGGATGTCCAATAACATCATATTGCAGTTAGGGCAAAATGGAAAACGACACCAAAAAGTGTTCTGCCCGTAGCAAATAAAAACACTAGACAGAAAACCATAATTTATTTAACCATTTAACAACTGTTTAATTAGACGAATAATTTAACCAAAAGAAAATTTAGTAAGCCAGCAAAAACTACGAAAAAATTCACTTTAAACGTGGGGGCGCCGTTAGGTTTTGATGTTCTTTTGTTGCAATTATCCTCACTACAAGCATAACAAGTGTTGGGAGTTACTGTGGCCGTTCGATGAAGATCCTTTTGGCCTTTGATGAAATTTCCACATTCTTCTCCTCCCATGTCGGGAAAACAGGACTGCATCGTGGTGAATGAAGTCACAATTCCGGATTTAACTAAGTGAAAAATGCCATTAGTGAAAAAAACCATTTGAAACCAGTTTTCCCGGATATTTACTCTCATATGTTGCAGCTAAACAGACGCTGCTTCCAGGGCATTTTCGAAGAGAACCAATGCCATAACAGCCATCCTGGTCCCAAGTAGAACTGGAAACGTTACAAGCGTAACATTCCAGAGCTTTACCTAAAACGGCACATGCAATAACGCATTATATTTATAGCGTTTGGTAATCGCTCCAACTAGTTAACAAACACGCTTGATCTGGTAAGAGCTTTGGTACTTACCGGTTGATACACAGGTTGCCAAGATGCAAAGGTACAAGATGCCCACAGAGCTGCACTTAAATTCCATTATTTCCACGAAAATTTAAGGTTTTGCTGCAAATGGTGAATCAACAGCTCGGACAGCATTAACATCACCAGTTATCCACATTTTTATTAATAGAACTATTATTTACCAGTCGGTGGTCTTTTTTTCATTTCGCTAGCCTACACGTTGGATCTTCACAGAGGCGGACTCAAAAGCAGTTTTATTTATTTATATGCCTTAAAATGGTTCAGATTTCCGTAAATATTTGCCGGGGTGCCGATGACGAAAGGCAGTTTCATAATCCGTAACATCAGAAAAAACATTTCAATTGTCTTATTTTTGTCCCCGCAAAATATCCCATGTGAATATTTGATTTAAAAAAGTCGATAAATATGTAAGGTGGCAAATAAATTAAAATATTTAGTGATTTTTTGGGCTGCAGGGCCTAGAGGATATGTGTGAGACAGGAAGAAAAATAAGAGGAAAGAGTATAAGAACGATGATCGATCATAAAACTAGGGGACAAAATCATTTCTGCTTCGAAACCGCAAATCGCCAGGAACTGTTTCAATGACATGATTTTTTTAAACGATACAAGCTCTTTTGACTTTTAAAAGCTGCCCCAAGGAAACGTAGAAAAAATCAAATAAATGAAAAAGCTGTGGATATTGATTTCTTCCTGGACTTCGGAAAACCAGTATAAAATCGAATATATTTGCAGCAAGAAGTTCCGTGCCTTGATAGAGGGAGCCAATATATCTGTGGCGGATCATGGATATAACATAGCTCTTGACAAATGGCGAACAAAATGTTCTGCAGCCTTTCCATGACTTCACATTCCACTTTTCAGTCCAAGGCTTCGTTGTCGTTTCCTTAAATATAGCGGTGTTTAGCCGGTAATAGTGTTATTCATATTTATTTATGCATTTTCCTAGTCGAAAATGTCCATGACGGGGACAAATATGTTCAAAGGTAACTGCAAATTACACAGGAACAAAGCAATCCAGATTGTCATATCGGAAATAAAACGCAAACAGCCAGGTACAATAGGAAAAAAACTCAATCTTCTGATAGCCGAAGGGACCGTCCACTAATACATACATATATATTTATGAATCATGGAGCTGAAAAAAAAACGAAATTCTAGCGCGCGATCAATATTAATGGGATTTGTCCAGGTTTGAGCTTTTGGAATTATATACGGAAGTGATGAAAAATAAGAGCTTTAGCGGTTTTTTGCATTAAAATTTCGATTTGATTTGGGAGAGGATAAATAATCCGGAATGGATAAAATTTTAATTTCCTGGCCTTTATTTATGATTGAAAATTGTATATGAGGAAGATTCAGGTGTTCGTTTTTCTAAAACTTGATCACTCAATACGTAAACTTTTAGAGCAAAAATACGGAGTTACTGAAACAGTCAATAACTGTGATTAATAAATACTGCAGATAAATAATTTTAAATAAAAGCAGACGCCAGAACTCATTGTAGCTTAATTCAAGCAAATAGCAAGCAAATAATTAAACTTCCATTTGGAAAAGTTTCTGCATATTCCAAAAATAAAAAGACTATTCAACATCTCACACATGCTGGATGAAATGGTAAAAAGACACAGTGAAACAATGAAACCAATAATCGTTTCCTATGCTCAATGTTCATAGCTCAACTTAAACAAACCCGCCAATCTATCCGGTACATTTCGGATGTTTTTTAATTAAAAGGTAACCGAATTTCAGGCTGGAAATCCCATTTTCCGACATGAGCGGCAATAAATCGGAACATGGCCAATGAAAAAAAGTGGACAATAGTTCTGTCAGGGGATTGATTGATATATCCCGAAGCAATTCCAGTGAGAGGTCGACATTTCTCATTGTTAGTTAATTTGTCAATAAGTTTTCAAAATTGATACCGTTTAGTATACTTGAAAGGGTTCACGGATGGACGTCGGTTTTGCGGTGGTATTGATTAACGATGGCCTACAGATTTCCCGTTGGATCTTGCCATTCAATAATCTGAGAAATTGACATGATTTTTTAGATCTTAAATTGATAAGTACTCAAGCTGGTTGGGAAACTTTCCCGGAAAAGGTAATACACACTCTAGCATAGGTAGAGCCAACTTGAGCTCAATTAACTTTTGAAACAACATCCGAACTTTTGTTTACTGTAAATTGCAGATTTAGATGGCAATTCCAAACTTAAGCAATGCTGAAAGTTTCAGATAATTTCAGGCTTTGTACCGCGCACGGCTAAAGCAAATGCAAATAACCGAACCTCAGTGAACTTTGAAATTCCAACGAGTTTTTCAAAAAGCAGATTTATTGGAATTTTCTAGCCCTCATACTATCCCATCTCAGTGTCCAAAATTCCACCGATATAAAAGAAAATCAATTAACAACATTCCTTGGGCATTTATGGCCGTCGATTTTGAAAAAATGCCATGGGGGGAAATAAATCGGCGATAAATTAGGAAACTTTCGCGTGTTTCGTTGGAAACATCATATTTTAAAAATCCATCAATAAAAGTGATTTATTGCCGGTTGTAATGCTGACAGGTGTTCGTCTTTTTTATTCCTTGTCAAGATTAATTTTCCAGACCAACAATTTATGCAGGTTATTTACCTTTAATAATGGTATTAGCCACGAATCCAAACGCAAATGGAACTCGGAATTAATCATTTTATTTTGGAGTTGCTGACAACTTTATATCCGCAATTTTAAAACCAAAAGCCAACGTAAAACCCGGAAAAACCGCATCCAGTAATTTTGTGGCCAGGCAGCATACTCGAGAGAAAGTTTACCTTTATTGATAAGCAGACGTGAAAAGAGTTAACTCTTGTATGGCTTAAAACGCGTGCTAGCTTTCCCCATCAACGTAAGCAAACCCTTTTCGCCATTCATCTCTCGGTATACGCAAAAGTCATTAAATAATCTATCATTCTCGCATGTCTCAAACAGCAGACGAAACTCCTTTCTTATGTCGAAAATGGCCTCATTCAGTTGCTGAAAGAAAAACACGGGCATTTGGTCACAATAGACCGACACTTCCCACACATTTTTTTATTTGTTTCGAACCCTATTCGGGCCTAATTCAAATATTTATTAAGCGACTCTGGATGGAGCTAATGTTTTCACTAGGGCAGGGACCTTCTCCGCATAAGAAACTTTGGAAATATGGAGGCTTTTTGTTCAAGTTTCGGGAGTCCGGAAACGTATAAATTCGAATGGATTTATTAGAAATCGAAAGCCAATCAAAGTTGGAACACTTTTTTTAACCTGAGATGGAAGTGGTTTTGTTCGGGATTATACACAGGCGGGTGTCATACACCTCTAAATTATGCACATATTTAAGCTGTTCTAAAAAATTTCCTTAAATTATTTAAATTTAAAAACCATGAAATCTTACATAAATTAGATGAAAATAAATTAATATAATCTATTGTTGGCTGAGGATTTTTTAATGCCAAAAAGCCCATATAAATAATACTGAATATAAACAAAGCAGAAACGTCAACCAGTTGTTTGCCGGTACCGATTATTTCGCGACCTTCTAGATAAAAGTGCGGCAAGCTGAAGTTAAAAACTCAATAATATACCGTGTGTGTGAGACTTTGTTAATACCTATTGTTAATTTGCTAGGAAATATTATTTCGTGAAGCAAATATATTTCGTGGGTCATGGGGAGCTTATCCAAGCTCCCAAACAAAGCCAAAATCTATTTCATAAGATAAAACTCTTGAAAATTGAAATCTTCTAAAGCCATAAAATGTTCAAAAACTTCCCACAAAAATCTAAAGATAACTGGTGCATCATACATCAAAAAATTATGCTGTAGAGATTTATTAAAAATCCTACATCTACTACTACAATGTGTATTTTAGACCCTCAACTTGAGGTGATTTGAATGGATACTCCGAAAACGCTTGCGCGCATTCAGTTTTGAAAATAATTCATGGAAGACGCCGAACATGGCTCAGTGACACTTATGGCGTCGCTCGAGACCCACGGGGCGTCGCGACGTTCATTCATTCAATTCGGGAGTCGCGTGGCCGAATTCTACAGGTGTCTAGTACAGATTTTCACCGAAAATAATACTATTTAAAAGCGCAAATTTGAATTTTATAGGTGCATTGTGTTGGATCAACTTATCGAAATTACCGTTCAGAAATTTTTCAGTGAGTTGAAAATGTGACAAAAGTTTTAGTTTAGTTGAGATACATGTGGTGACATTACAGGTGAGAGGAGTTTTTGAAAAATTGCACTGTTTTTGAAAGTTTTTTATTCGGCATATGTTTCACTTTAAATGCGTTTCTTTAAATAAATAGTTTGTTTGTTTGCCTCAATAAATCCCCAGCCCAATTTTAGTAAGCCCAGTTTTAATTGCAAAGAACCAAATCTGTTCGTAGTTTGATTTATTTGCCCCAAAAAAGCTTTTACTTAAAAATGTATGCAATTTCTTCAGCACCATTAAGAAAATTGTTCCCCATTTGTTTTGTGTATTCAATTAATATACAATGTAAATGGCATTTCGATTAGTAAAAGCAACGCGTAAAACGCATTAGGACTAATTGCGTTAGTTGCTTAAAAAATTTGAAAGTAATTGGACCACAGTTTATATAAGTTTTATATTTTCATGGCATTAAACCGGAATTAATAGAAAATGTACGTACATTTATTAGTTTTTTTTTAATATTTTCAAAGCGTTTCAGCTTTTCATCTTACGTAACACAAGCGTATAATTTTTGCTTATAGTTATCCCTAAAAAATAATGAACAAAAACGCTTTAAAATAAAAAGAATAATTCCCATATCAACGTCGAAAATATCGTTAAAATAATTTTCACAATGTCACAAACCCTACTAAGGTCAAGATAAAAAGGTTGCATGACTTCATAAATCTTCTCTAGGTGTATCTGCAAGCGTTGTGGGTAGATTTGCGACTATTTTACCTAATACCAACACAGATAAATTATTTATAAAACTACTGGCACATAACTGAGACAAAAGCCCGTAAAACCTGAAAAGTATTTACTAGAAGCTTTTCGGTTTACTTACGTGTAATGTATATTTCATATGGTGCGACATTAGGTTGGATAAAGGAAGGTAGAAAAACTGATACGTTTTTATCTGGCGAGGTGCCAGAATGGCACAAAACTTCCTTCACATTGTCCCCCGTGGTTAACATTAGCAGATAAGCCTACGTATATAATTTTTCATCAGAACATACTTATTAGTTATTTTGATATAATACGAAATTTTGTGACTATGGATGGATAACACTGATATACTTTTATATAGATTTTTCGATTCTTATGTGAAACTTCGACATAAGGAAAAGTGAGGTTTAAAAAAATGCATTATCAGTTAACTAAAGGAACTAACTAACCAGTTTTAAATCGCTTTACTCGCAAATAAATAATTATGCACATTGATAGTATTTTCTTTTAAACTCCTCAAATTATACAACAAAAAACGAAAAACTCCACAGATTCAATAAAAGTTTTTCTTCAAATGCTAAACTAACGAAAACCCTATCATATTTTCCAGATTTTCAATAAATCCGCTGGCATTTGGGCCCACATGGGACTTGAAAAGTTATATTTTGTTTTGCACCGCCATCAGCTTCGTACATTCAACGCCACTTATGAATATTGACATTTTACTGCAGATGCATTTGAAAGGCTCACAAACATGATACGAATATATAAAGGTGACATATAGCCAGGAAATTCAATTCAAAAGAAAATAAAATTTGTCAATTTTTAAAAAGTCGAATGACGCAAACACTCCAAACTGGAAAAGAAGACATAATCCAACCAGTTAGTTTATTTTCATTGGCTTTAACATACCAAGTAAGTGTTGATTCAATGGAAAGCTCACTGGCAGATATATTTAGAAGCTGAAACTTTTACCATCAGCAAACTTAAATTATTTGTCTCCTGAAGAGTAGCAGTGATTTATTTAAGCCCATGTACCTTGTCGTGATTTTCAAGGGCGACACTTTGAACAACTTCCCTGTTTTAATCCGTAATCTAATTTTGGATACCCCATTACAGTATTCTGATGTACTCATTTTAATATTTAATTAGCTTTCTTAACAGACATTTCCTGGGAATTACATTTTTTAGTTTATTGTCTATAATTGATTGGATACATAAAGTATGAAAATCTATTACAATTTGCTTTGAAAGGTTCTGCAATTTACTCAATAAAAGCGCAAAAGCCCAGGCTTTATTTAAAATCCTGAAAAAAGGTGTGTAGGTACACTAATTAAAAACCCCATTTAAATGGATCCGCACTATTAATAATGATGTGGAAGATGCACGTAACTCTATTTAACCACTATAAATCAAACAGTTTATGGTCATAAATCAAGTGATAGCGAATCTCAAACTTTCAAAGTCGACAAGAGCGAAATAAATCGTTTTTGCATTCAAGTCGAACGGAAAATTGAAAATTGTATTATTGAAGTAGGAAAATGAATTTTCGAACCTACAGACTAGGTCAATGCAGTGGGGCGGCAGTATTTCTCAAAAACGCCTTTGGAAGTCCGGGAAAACAATGTTATTTGAGTTTTTATTCTGGATTCGGTGATTCCACACTGGGAAATTGATCGTTTGAAGCCTTGATTGAAAATTGTGATTCCATTTCCAGGATTATACAAAAACTGATCACAAAGAATGGCACGAAACGTTATCCCGATGCTATTTGTTTTTATTTTTTACGGCTCAGCTCAAAATCCCCGATATTCCTAAGTCGAAAGTCGTGTTTTCGACCACTTCCACACTATGAAAAACCCTGAAACACCTCTAGAAAATCATATTACCGAAAAAGGTCTCGCATAGACTTTGACCCTTGAAAAATTCGCGATACACACTCGGGTCTCTTTTCGTCATTTGCATATTGACGAAAATGTCCTTTCACGATTCGCATCAAGCGAGTAAGTTGGGGTTTTCAACAAATCCAAACCGAGGCGCTGGAAAAGGCAAATGTTTTCCGAATGGAAATGCGAACGAATTGTTCTTTGGCGTTTTTACCCAAACCGTCGACGAAGTTGGGATTAGTTTTCGATTTTTCGCGATTATTTGCCTTGATAGAAAAGTCTATCGAACGAGTTGATTACTTCCGACCAGAAGCCTCACCACTTTTCGTCTAATTTGACTTGAACAGATGAGCAAATCTTCAAGACATGGAACTGAGCCCTTAAAGCTCACCCAATGTTGTGATATCACTGTTTCGGGCCAGTCCATTGTTTGATGATGAAAAACAGATTGCAAAGACGCCAAACAAAACAAGAGGTGCTAACTTGTCGAGTCCATTCATTTCAAACAGTAGGTGTACTGAAAAACAAAAGCCCTTCTTGTTTTGGCTGATGTATGAATGGAGGGTGGCCTCCTAATTTAGCCCTTGTATTGCTGCCAGCATTCAAGTGTTTAGAAAACAAGGGGCAACAGACTGTTGGAACAATTTTGTCTGTTTGCTTAGCTAAAAACTATTACTCGAAAAAGTGAAATAGAGTAAGGCTGAATATTGGCAATTATTTGGCGGATTACTGTTATGAAATTCCAGATCAATTGAGCCCTCGCAATCATTATTACACTAAAATGACATTGTGTAATGCAAATTTAACTGCCCAATTTGAAGCAAATATGAACAAAGCCCAAACATTATTGGCAATCTGGTTTCAATTATTCAGCACTGCGCCTATAAGAAAATCCATTTGTAATGTTGAAATTTGTGAAACAAACATTCGGCTTTAGATAGTCAATTAAAATATACCAAGTGGCAAATATGTTTTAATTGATGAAAGTTCAGGCGAATGGGTTAAGAGTTTCGTTTATGACAAGATAATGAAGTGGTTCAGGCAATCAAATTTTCGATTTTGTTTGAACAGTTTTTTAACCAGTATTACTCAAATGTTTATACGGGTTTTGTCGGTCCAAAAATATGCATTTTTATTGCTTAGCTTGTTCCCAGAAGGCGTTTTCTGTAATGGTCTGAAGCCACTAAAAAGATCAAAAATGTTTGGCGTTTCAAAATATCGCTTTTTCGTCGTCAGTATCAAATACAATATTTCCAATGCAAAAACTTGTACTTGGTTCAAGTCGATATCTCTCACCGTTCTTGAAATATTTCACTTGTAAATCTCTAGGATTTTTTTGAATTATTGAAGAATTTGAGTTAGTTCAAAAAATCACTAGAGGTTTCAATGTGAAATATCTCGAAAACGGCCAGAGATATCGAGTTGGAACAAGTGCACAATTTTTGTTTAGGAAATGTGGTGGGACCAGATATTGCCAATGAAAAAGCGAATTTTGAAAACCCCATAGGTTTCTGATGTTTTAATCGGCTCCAAACTATTGAACCTTATCACTACTAGCTTAGCCTTAGAAAACTTCCATTCTTGGATTTAAACATTTAATAACTACAAATTTTTTTGGTAGTACTGAAACTGGTTAACAATCTATTAAAAAACCCGAAAATTGTATTTACTCTTTACTATTAACTTTAGGATAAGACAAATTTGCCTGAAACGCATTTTTTTGTCCGTGAATTTCGTCACCTAAAGAGCGTCGAATAATTCGACGTTCAGTCATAAAACATTAATTCATTATCTAGAGACAATAATGTATTATTATTTTTCACGCTTATATCAAGGATAATAACAGCCTGTCTATATTTAGGCTAGCGACAGCTACAGTAACATTCCTGAAATAGCAGACGACATAATAAACAGTTTCGATACATTTTTTATTAGACGTTATTCGATTTCAGGCAGGCAGCTTCGGTCTTTGCCCAAAATAAGAAAAAATAATGTAATAAGCTCACTGGTTTAAGGCATTGGGTTTCGAAGAACCTTTCAGATCGGATTTTTTATTTAGCAATCCGATTTTCAAACTATCGTTTCTCAGGCAGTAAATATCGAGAAATTGTAGACGAATAGTCTCAAACATGCTTGGCACAAGTCCCCAACGTAAACTTTTAATATCCATATTGAATTTTAAACCACTTGCTGCCTGAAAAAGCGTGAAAATAAAGTCTTAATTGAGAGAAGAATTTGATGCAATCCTGAATTGGATCAGGCCGAAATCCATGTGCTGCCTAATGGAGAAAAACAGGCGAAAATCAGCAATGTAATGCTAATTACCATTTGCATTTTATCTTTCTTTATTTCGTACTCATTTGTTTCGCTTTAATTTTTTTGTCCAACGTCTTTGCCTTAAAAATGCCCACATAAATAAAAAGAAAATAGAGATGTTTAGTTTGGAAGGCAGCATTACCTTAAAAGCTTTCAGTTGATAAAGTCGTGAATGTCTATGTTTAATATTGAATGTAAGATGAATAATACTCTTTTGTGCGGTAAGAAAATATTTATAGTTCCAAGTGGATCGGACTAGATGAAATTCCATCCTTGACCATCAATCGGTCCACCATATGTAGGTTTAGTGGCGTACTAACGGAAAAGTATCTTATTTGTTCTCATGGCCGGTTTGTGACTGAATCAAACATTTTTTTCGGAAAATATTGATGTTTCGATTCTTTTTTCAGATCATTTCTTTCAGTTTCCAACTCACCAGCGGAACCGTCAATATGTTGAATGAAAATAGGAAATCAGAAAAGGTGCATGATTCTGCTCGCCCCAGACCTGTATGCTACACAAGTGATTAATTATAGTGCTGAAAAAATCATCCTTACTGGCGAGTGTCGCTCCTTTAGGTCGTAATGCAAAGATAAGTTTGTCCCGACTTTTCATAAGCAAAGTCTAATATTTTACGCTTTCGAGCGAAACAGCTCTGAACATGCAAGCCACTCGTGCTAGCAAAACTTGCCACAACGGCCTGAAATCCTGAAAAATTCATCAATTTCAAGTAATGGCCGTGAATGTGAGGTTGTTATTAAACGAACATGGAAAGCGTTAAAAACTGTTTGCACCAGCAAAATCGCAAACATGTTTTACAAACATTGCAGATTCAATTCAATCATCCGCGAAACGATTCATACATTAATGTTGTATTGTAACAAAGCCAATTACGGTCGGTCAACAAAAGGTATTGTCGGGCTTTTCACCGATTTCCCACATTGCTACAAGTTCAATTTGTAAACAAAAATAATTGCAGGCCGTCCTAGTGACAAAACAATGCACTTCGAATGAACGTTTCCGGATTGTCAATTGCATAATTGCGTAATCAGCACAACATTAAATCCGTATTCAAAGCGAAAAAGCACAAACGCAAGTGCTTTCTGGCTTGCTTTCATCAAACGATAATTGGGTTTGTTAAATGTGGGGGCTTCGTCTATTATGTGAAGTGTTTCCAAAGTCCGACTTAACACTGAAATAAAATGTTTGATGGTATTTGTTGCATTTTTATAATTGTCATAAACCAGCAAACATCCTGTAGAATAACGTATTTCGATACGTAGGATGACATCAGAAGTTTACAAATAAAGTGGCGAAAAAATCAGAACTGTAAAACTGCCTAGAGAGTTTTTAGTGCTCCTATTTTTAGAGCAATAAAAACTCACATAAAGCTAATTCAGCTTATGATTAAGAATTCCCACTTGCGTATTCAAAGTGGAGTGGACCCTATTAATTATTTCAAGAGCTGGTTTGGAATCAGGTTGTGCTTGATCAACGATTTTAAAAATAGTTTGAAACCAGCCGGATTTGGAAGCTATTTTAGCTGCACTTTTAGCTACAGATCGTCGGGTGCTCATATCACAGCTTATATATCATGATATTTAAGCTGTGCTCATATCATAAGAAATCGCCAGGCACTTTTAGTGTCACATTAGCTTTGCATAAACACACATAACATTGACCCAGAGAAATTAGTGATTCCACAAATGCCTGCAGTTTTGTTTCCATCCACATCAAGGGAACTTTGTAAAATATTAAAACTCTCCCGAATAATCTCAACAAATCCCCTCAAGAAAGCGTCCCAAAATAGAGTTTAAATTGATAGCTGGAGTAACTGTAAACGGCTGCCCAAAGCTCTATTCAATTACGGGTTGCTGCTAATAAAAGCAGTTCGTATGCAAATGCCGCTTCTCTATTTTTGGAATAATCAACTAAAATCACGAACTCTTCTTCAAGGGTGTGATCTAGAAAACCTGCCGAAGGATTTTGCAACAGTCGAGTTGTTTTACGACCTTTAGGGATTTTATTTTTATCGAAAGCGGCTTTAAAAGTGATTAGTTTGCAATGGTTATTACTGTTATTCTCTACTGCAGCTAATCGGTTTGTTTATTTGCGAAATAATTGATGCAGTTAAACAATAAAAGTTTATTAAGTTAGTTGATGGGCGATAAAGGTAAACTCACTGTTGATTTTTGCTATTTTGAAATACGCCGGATTTTCCTATCAGGGATTTGCAATTTTTAACTGATTAGACATGCTTTGTACATTTGGGCGACATTGTCGCTTCATGTACAGCAATTACGAGTGTTCATAATCACGTGTTACAGCGACATTTTACAATTACCAAGAGGATTTGCCGGGCACCAGATCCAATTGCATTTATTGATTGCAATTTGCATTATACGATCAACATGATGCATAAAGTGGAGATTGGTATTGTCGCTTAAAGAATTGCCCGAATGTCTCAGAAATTCATGAGTATAAATTGATGATATTGCAAAGAAAAAGCTGAATTTGAGGATAATGAAATAATATAATATTAATATTAAAAGACAACGCAGCCGGTAGTTTTTGATCAAATAATCAGAGCTTTCATTCAGAGCATCACTATCAGACTCACTCAGACTCACTATCACTAGACAATAACATGTTTTATACAAAGTAGTTAAAGAAACGGTTCTATAATGCTCACAAAATTCCAAGAAAATCGTGATTCAAATAACAAAAGTGAAAAATTAAAGATAAACATGCACAATTGATCTGAGTCAGCCAAAAAATTATTTGTTTCAGGGAAAAATACTTGCCAAATGTCCAAAACGTGGACACCTACATCAAACATTTTGCTCCAGAACTTTTGTGGTTCAAACTGTTTTTAAAAAGCATAAATAAAAAGATCTTGCAAACATTTCTGATCTATCAACATACAGTTAGCTATTGCTTCCAACCTCAGTGCGCTATAGGTTTAAATTCAGAAAAAACAGCAAAAAAATCGAGATAGAAAACATACAGACCACAGGCATGTATTCAGTAAATTAAATCTGATATTTTCGTGTCTACACAGCATGTTTTACTGCAGACTCGCTTTTCTCAGTTTGACTTTATTCCCCTGTCCATGGTTCAGTTGCAGCGATAGCACAAACCCTTAATTAAAAAAGCATCAGCATTATTTCAGATCCCATACACATAATTAAAATCGTAATCTGAATACGTACGAGTTTTCGAAATATATAAAGCCACAAAAGCACGCAGAAATAAATAATAGAGTTGCACGCTCAATGCAGTGTATTACCACAGAATGGTAATACCTCTATTTGCTATTCATTTATTTGCGATTGGAATATGTTGAAATGCGGTGGCTGGCTTTAAGAATCGCACGAAACAGAACGAAAATTGAATTGTTGCTATAAATAAAATGCGAAAAAATGCCAAAAATATCGATAATTTTTTGTCTATTTATGCAGGTGCTCTTCACCATGTCCCGCGAAGACCGAGTGTACTACAACACAACGATAGTACTCTTCAGTCCATCCAACAGCATCGCTGCAGAAAACCCCACAGAAGCGAAAGAAAACGAAAATAATTGGTGGGCTCTCACAGCCATTGGATTGGCCATTGGAACGGCTGCAGGAAACATATTGGTTTGTTTGGCGATTTGCTGGGAAAGACGACTGCAGAACGTTACCAATTATTTCCTGATGTCTTTGGCCATTACCGATTTGATGGTGGCTATTTTAGTTATGCCTTTGGGAATTTTGACTTTGGTTAGAGGTAAGCAACAGCCGAACAGTTAAAACTAGAACTTGCACACCAATTATTTTGGTATAAATAGGAACCAGACTACAGAAGATACAAAAAATGAATAGCAAATAAGTACGGAAAAGTTCGCAGAATTTGTTCATTTTCATCTGATCACATTGATCCTGCAATTAGGCGAAAAATTGGTTAAGATACAGAACTTCTAAGTCCATTACCAATTGCTGCAAATTGTAGATTTTACTACTAGCTAAAGAAGAGTGAAGAGTGGATCATTTTGGGTCTTCTGAGTTTTGTGTCTCAGCAGTTTTTACAGAAAAACTTCTCTGAGATAACTTCACAAAATCTTCTGAGAGTTAGAATTCAGACTGAGAAAATACTGTTTTGAAGAAGTCTCGCTAATTTTTAAAAAGAAACTTTACTGAGAACTCAAAAAATTTCCGTTAATTAAAAAAAAAATATTAAACGAATTTTTTATCGAGTTTTCAACAATTCATTATACAATTCTCTTGCTACATTCACATGTGGCTCTAGTTGAAATTAAAAAAAATTCATAGTAAACCGAAATTGAAGCAGATAAAAGAGGTCATGCTGTATTCTAGCAAATACAGTCTCCAGAAGGATTCCAACTATGTTTTACTGCTGGTTTATTGCGAGTTAAAAGAAACCTATTTTCCCTGCTATTAAAAAAACAATTACTGGTTACCTGGGAGTATTCTTCTGAAACCATATGGTCAGTTACTTGGAAGGAAATTTTCCAATTAGCTTTCAAAATCTGCGCAGCTGGAATAAAAATATACGGCACAGAAAATGGCAAACCTCTAAAAGTTTAATGTAAATTTGCTTTATTCTCAACAGATAAATAATTCACGATTAATGCAATAAAAGAACCATAACGTTCACGGCAAACATGTAGATAGCAAAGTGCAGTAACAGTCAGTCAAGCTGAAAACTCCTGAACTGTACGAATTCAAAAATGATAAATAATGACTTTACTCACATTGTATGTAATATCATTCTCTCGTGCTGAAACTTTAACGATTCTCGAATAATGTTCTCTCGTCACGGATTAATTTTTCATTTGCACAGGATGGCGACAAACAGCAACATTCACGAATATTAACGACTATAGAAATTGCTTCAACCCCTTTTTTTCGTAATATGAACAAGTAGCTATAAATTTTAAATATTTATCATTTCGGTCCGTGTAAAGACCTTAATATTTCGGCCTTAAATTGGACTCGGATTTAGTGCTAATGTTACTCTGTTGATTAAAAAGCGTTGCTAAAATTTCATACACCCAATTTAAATACGCACGGACCCAAATTGGAGTATTAATTATGCATTCATGGTAGGTATAGGGCGGTTGGAAAACTACTTTCCTAAAAGGGAATCAAATTTACACACTCACGTTACCACAAGAATTAGGGACAAATAAAAATGGAAATTTCCATGGCAAAATATTTACAAACCACGTAATTGCATTTTATACTGACTGGAGCTTTGAAAGTTGATCAACTGCAGCATTTTAACTATTGGCTTAGGAACTCTATGAAAAATAAGATATATAAAAACCTGGCCTTTACAAAACGGTTTTTGAACATCCGAAACACAGCGATTTATATTGAATCATAAAATTGTAAAATTAACTGCTTACAAACTATGAGAAGAAAAATGGTTTATTTCGAAAAGCTCTTTTACTCGATGCGTGGACAATTACCTGACTTCATAAAAGTTTTTCTTGTCGTTACTCATGTAAGGGTTTTCGAACAGTTTCGTGACGCATAAAAACTGCCATAAAACCTAATCAACTTTAGTGCCGTCGTTTTCCGTAATATTTAATTTAAACACGACTCTAATGATAGACATTGTGTTGAAACTTTATTAAATCGGGCTTAAACGGGGGCTGCCTTTAAATACGAACATCCCCATGCTTCCATTAGAACAGCGGCCTTTATTAGCATGTGTCAGAAAAAATTGCCTTTTAATTTTTAACAAGAAAGTGTCATACATTTTATTGAAACCTTCGCAACTACATTACGATTTTTCATTAGAAATGCTGATACTAATTCAATAATATGCAAATTAGTAAATTAGTAAAAGTAGATTATTTTGAGCTCTTAAGAAAAAATGAAAGAATTAAAAAATGAAATGTGAATTGCTTTTATTTGAGGCTTTACAAGTCTCACAATTGCATTTTTAAAAATTAAGCAGTTTGCCTGAGATTAGCACATTTTGAAACCTGGACTTACTTAAATTTTTCAAAAGCTTCACTGTTGATCAGTATAAAGTTTTTCGCATCGTTAAATTCATTAAAATTATAAGAATTTTTTAAACCACATAATATCCAGAACTTTAAGCACAGTAACTCAAAATCATGCATTTTCCCTTAGTTCGTTTGTTCCTAGTGAAAATGCATTAATTCACTTAACAACGTGTCAATCATATAAAATAAAATTGTTTACCGTATGAAATGTTCACATTATTTAGTGGCACATAAAAAAACTGAAGGATCCCGTCCATGCCAGTTCGATGCAAATTAGATTTTCTTAACAACATATTTTCGGTTTTAAAATGGGGTTCGATAATCATATTGGAGCCGAGGAAAATGGAGCCTTTTGTGCGCAAAGATCCGAATATTTCGAGTTACTGATTTATTTCAATTCCAGTTCTGTTCAATGTGTTGCATGTAAATTGAGCCGAGCAGAGCCGTAGTTCAGGTGCATGAGAATTGGAAATAATATATACAGGAGGATTGTTAGGGCGAGAAAACTCGGAACATTCAAATATCTATGCAGTTCCTGTTTCGATATGGTCTGTTTACAAGCTCCAACACGAAACTTTTGGCTACGTAAGTTAGCTGTGAAAGTTTACGATGAATAAAAAGCACTTAATGAACATTTACCACGGAAAAGTATTTTTAACTCGTTGCAGTTTACGTTAATTCCTGCAGATTACTTAATACTGATTAAACAAAAATCAGTTTATCTTTGAAACCGTTAAATTTATCTATCTACTATCTAAAAAGGATCTTTTTGCGTGAAAATATCCTCCGTTTCCCAAAATAATATGTGTAGTTGAAAACAATGACACATTTTAAGAGCTTTAGGATCGGTTTGCAAATCAGGGTATGACTTTTTTAGAAATACATTTCGCCCAAAATCGCACAAAAATACTACAATACACAGTAGTTAGGGGTTAGGAAATATATATTTATGGGTGCTATCGAGAAAAATTTCTTTTAGAAACTCATTTATTCTGGTTGATCTTTACAGCCATTTCAGTGCATTTTGAGTGAACACGTTGTTGCTTTTGATTTGTGTTTTTAAAGTTTTATTCGCCAGGAAAAAGTATTGACTAGAATCGATTAAATTGAGCAAAGTCCATGATTCAATTTTGTTTCGTTCCAATTATCAAGCTTTACCTCTTTTCGACTCATTGGGAGTTTGTGCAAATAGCTTTTAAACTAATCAAAACGATTAGCTTGGCATCACTGATGGTCAATTAACCGAAAAATTTGCATCCACATGCACACATTTTTTAGCAACAATCCATCCACTGAATGCTTTACTTGAATACATCGTCGTAATACTCGAAAGCAACTGGAGCTGAAATAAAGGCATCTGTTTATGTACTTTATGAGCTCAAAGAGCTTTATGGTCTAAAGACTTTGTTGAGGAAATGCCATCAAAATAAAAAGCAATAAAATCCCTATGTTGCAGCAAAAACTTAGCAATATCGGCGCTGCTTCGAGCATTGCAATGCTTGAGCAAAAGTGGTTTCCGAGCGTAAAACGCTATGGAATTTCCACTACACTATTGGTGAGGTTAAAATTTGATTAACGGCATTCTTCTTTTCGTGAATTGACTTAAACTATCTTCATTGATCGATACCAACCTTTAATTTCCCTGTCTTTTGTTGTGTAAAATATTTCAAGCGATTCCATTCTCTGAAGCGATTTTTATAATATTTTGTTCATGTTTTGAATCAATTCATTTGCAAGTTTCAACATTTACTTTAAGTTTAAATTAACAGTGGAAAATTGGACTAAGATCGCAAAAAACAGTTGCGTGATTATATATACAGGGCTTGTATCGAACCATGGGACCATAAAATGCATTGAGGCAGAAAAAAAATGAATGAACATTCGACATCCAGACAATGATTTCGGCGTCGGTTTCGAAGTTTGTGACTTTCTGAAAAATTAGCGTGACCTGCGATTTACTTGAGAGTTATTTTGTTTTGATTTGATTTATTTTGGTTTGAACACTGAATAATTAACTGCCGGAAGTGTCGCTTCTGAAGCCAGTAAAAATTAAGTCATTTCGACATACAAGATCCGTGAATGTATCGAATTTTTGCCTATATTTCACTGGTTTCACGGACTCAATTTAAAATTAAATATAATTTCTGCATAAGTCCTTCGTTTTCAGTTGATGTTTTGAAAGCAACCCTCACTACATAATTAAATCGCTATAACCCATTGAGGTTCCTTTTCGCTGCGTATAAATCATACGGAATCCGAACCGGACGGGACGCTTGATTCATGAAAATCAGCGAAAATACTTCAAGGAATAAATTCCATTCATGATTTAGTTCAGTGACAGGCGAATAATTTCACCCGTTCTCACCTTTCGGATTGCTCCAAATAGATTAGGTAGTCATAATGGTTTTCGCAAGAACTGGGCAATAATTTATAGGAAAAGGTACGCTACCGGCTACACGCGACACTGAACTTGCATTAAAAGACCTCTGCTAAAGATGGGCACATCGTAAATCATGGGCCTTTTTAGTTTATTTGACGATAGCCTTTCTGCTCTAGGCTTATCGCCTTGTTTTCAATGGGTCGTGTAAAAAATTTCAAACCGAAACGGGGGACTCCAAAGAAACCGTGTTGATCCTGTCCGGCCCAAATAATAAGGGTAAACTTTAAAGCGGATTAGCATGTAATATTTCATTTTCGCATTTAATTCTTTGGGGACTGAAATGTCATGTATCACAGAATGTTTCCTGTA